AATATTTCAATGACATTATTGAAATCAACACAAACTCTGGCAGGTTTAGATTATCAAGCGTGTGTTTCACCACTTTTTCAAAATAACATTCATTCATTTATTTTCTTTTCGGCTTAGTCCCTTTATTAATCAAGGGTCGCCACAGCGGAATGAACCGCCAACTTATCCAGCATATGTTTTACGCAGTGGATGCCCTTCCAGCTGCAACCCATCACTGGGAAACATCCATACACACTCATTCACACACATACACTAAAGCCAATTTAGTTTATTCAATTCACCTACAGCACATGTCTTGTGGTGGGGGAAACCGAAGCACCCGAAGGAAACCCACGCGAACACTGGAAGAACATGCAAACTCCACACAGAAACGCCAACTGACCCAGTTGAGGCTTGAACCAACAACCAATTGCTGTGAGGCGATCGTGCTACATACTGCGCCACCATGACGCCCATATTCAAAATATGATGAGCAGAATGTTTATTTACCTCTCTCTCTGAGATGACTCGGTCAACCACTAGTTGATCATCTTGTCTAACAATATGAATCTTCCGGTCCACCGTTTTCTTTTCCAGCTGGAATATTGGAATATATATGTGTAGTATTACATTCGTTATTTCTTTTTAATGAATTTAAATATGTTGGTTACACACTGATGTAAATGCTTTTTGTAAACTTTGCTTTTATATCGATGAAAAAGATACCTTTACATATTCATGATGATTCTCTTCCAGTATCTCGAGCTTTCTGGATATATAGGCTGTTAACAACAGAAACAAAACCAACATATTTTTAGTTTATTTTGGGTTTTAAGTCACCATCCATAAAGTATATTTAAAAACGGAAAACTGTATAATGTATGATAACATATTCATCAGTGGCCATATTTTTTATTAACAGGAAATTGTAATCTTATCTCTAAATCTGTAAAGCTTAATTATTCATTATCATTTATTATTCATTATTATTATTAATAATATTATTAATATAAAATTTTAATACAAATATTAATATAAAATTAATATTAATATTATTGATATTATACATATTATTCATTTATCGCCATGAAGGACAACTTTACACTAAATCCTGAAATCCACCAGCAGCAAACAAAATTTATCCAGTTTTCCTTTGTACAAAATCAAGTATTGTCTTTCATATTTTCTATTTTGAGAAGTCATATCACTTAGCAATATGTCATAAAAAGGAACAAACAAATGCAAAAAGGCATCTTTTACAGTCTATGCACACAACTTTACAGTCAGCATGAAATTTGGTTTGTTTTGTAAAACGTATCACATACAAACACCTTCTGTAACGAAAAAACGTTAAGTTCATCCAAAATGTCTATTTTAATTTCATTGTGATTTAACAGACTGAGAAAATAACACAAATAAGTTTGTTCTCACTACCAAATAATAAACGGAAGTCATTATACAAAGCTTACCTACGATGGATGTGCCACAAGGGACGTCATCGATAGTTCCGTGACTATTGGCATGGAGCAGATAGCAAAGCTCCTCATTGTAGCTCGCTTTAGTAACACTTACAGAGAAATCTCCCAGTTCTCTGCCTGAATCAGACACGGTCACAAGTGAGTCTGCAAACAAACACTGCTCCAGATCCCTCTGTGCTGCAAATGACAGCATAAGTGATTTGCAATAAGAAATCCAAATGCAATAGTGTATTTCAAATCTTTCAATTATATAAATCAAAGTATTGTTGGAAAATGATAAAAAAATGGAAATTAATTTTCTCAAATTACACATGCATTTACTAAATAATAATTCAACTAAACAAAACATTAACCATTAAAAAAATAAACATTAGTCTTTCTATTTAAACCACGATAACCTCAAAGCAGGCATGGTGTTAGTACACTAAACAACGTTTAATGCTAACCATGGTGTTTATAATAAAACTGGTTACAAATGGTAATCAGGGCGAGGCAGTGGCGCAGTAGGTAATGCTGTCGCCTCACAGCAAGAAGGTCGCTGGGTCACTGGCATTTCTGTGTGGAGTTTGCATGTTCTTCCTGCCTTCGTGTGGGTTTCCTCCGGGTGCTCCAGTTTCCCCCACAATCCAAAGACATGCAGTACAGGTGAATTGGGTAGGCTAAATTGTCCGTAGTGTATGAGCGAGTGTGTGGATGTTTCCCAGAGATGGGTTGTGGCTGGAAGAGCATCTGCTGCGTTAAAACTTGCTGGATAAGTTGGTGGTTCATTCCGCTGTGGCGACCCCGAATTAATAAAGGGACTAAGCCGACAAGAAAATGAATGAATGAATGACAAATGATAATCAGTAAACAAAAAACAATGTTTACATACTAAACTTTTTTCTATAATAAAGCCATGGAGGTCCTAAAATAGCATTTCTGACAGGCAAACTGAACAGAAAAACGTTTAAATTAACGTCACTTACTGAAATATAGTCAGTCATGTTTAAATTAACGTTACTTACCAATGTGAATAAACTCCACTGCACTGACTGAAGCTTTTAGCTCTTCTGTTTCATTCTGAGTTAATTCACTTTCCTCCATGTCTTAAAAACTCCTGGACAATCAAAAATCGTTATAACATTATATAATGCTGTATATGATATCGCGCTATACGATTACAGCACATTAAGTGTCATTTCAAAGTTAACTTACCTGGATCGTACTGGTTTTAACAGCTTATCCTTCAACAGGCTTCAACACGCTATTTTGCTTCGCTAATGCTAATAAAAACAGAATATCATGAAACTGCAGCTTCAAAAATGCGTTACAAAAATCAGCGTCAAAATTAGGGCATATAAACGTCTTTATTTATCGTTTGTGTGTTTTGTCGATCATGCCTCGAACTTATTAGCATCTTTGGTTTCCTTAGAAACGATGTTGTCAACATCTACCGTAAACCTTCTTGTAATTGCGCCAATTTCTAACATTTCAAAACAGAAAAGGCAAACTCATATTAATTACTAATTCATTGGTTTATTATCACAACACATTGATAAATAAAAATCACTGCTTGTGGTACCATAGGTTTTCAAAACCCTGTTCATGGGTGGTTCACTGCACATTAATAACAATGTAAGAAAAAAACAAGTGCTTCATTATTAAAGGAAAACGTGCCTAAAGACATTCACACAATGCCTTTCAAAGTCTATCAAATACAGTTCAAAGAAATCTGTTTTTATACAAAAAAAAAAACAAAACAAAAAAAATGCCCTAGTCAAGTTCTCTCAAATCTGCAATTGGAGCCCTGTTTCCCAACCTTGTTCCTGGAGGTACACCAGCACTGCTGTAAAGTAGCAAATTACAAATAGGCCTACTTGACTTACTGTAATTAGGTAGTTTTTCCCTCAGGAATTGTACTTTACTAGGTAGTTAAAAAATGGGTACTATTACTTTTACTTGAGTACATTTTAAGGGCTGCAATATAGTACCTTTAATACTTTACTCGCACTTACAGTCACTACTTTTGTTTGTTTATTTAATCTTGTCTGTGTTTATTGCATAATAGGAATAATTAATCCCATGATTCATGTCAAATTAAAATGCATCAGACACAATCGAAGACATGGACGCTTTAGAAATACAGCAAACATTGAGAGTGTGGAAGTGTTAAAGTTCCAGAAAAAAAAAAGTTTTTTTTTTTTTTTTTTAGATGTTAGAAGTATGTTACTCTTAAAGGATATGTATAAGCTTGCATGGTACAAAACAATAACAGAAATGTGCATTTAGAAGATGTAAAACTGATATAAACATGTAAAGCTTGTAGTTTGTCGCTTCCACCTGAATTGATCAATGTTTTTCTTCCACATCACCTCATACTTCTATTACATACTTTTCAGTCATCAAATCTTGACCAATCAAATGCTCTCTAGAATCTGACATGCCCCACCCCCTACTCCTTTGCTTTTCATTCAGTGCTCTTGAGCTCAACCACTCTCACTGGGAGAGCTGTGATAAAAACGCTATTGGCTGTTTTTTAAAGGGGAGGAGCTACTCAATGTCCTACCCTCTCTTCGTTTTTCAGTTGAGATTATGCCAAACATCGAATAAAAAGGCACATTTCAGAGCATTTCACAGGACCTTTAAAAGTGTCCAAGACTTTTGTGTGACAATTTTTTATGCACAATGACTGTGAGACTCTATGATGACCGAAATCGGCAAATGGCCCTAAACAAAAGCTAACTGAACTACAGAATGTTACGTTTTCAAACACATGCACAAATTGCATGACTTCTATCAGTGCAGAACAAACTTGGTTTGTAATTCCAACTGCTGGACACTTTTAACTTGTAAATCAGGGTTGCAGATTCAGATTCTGTTGGCTTATTATATGTGCATATATTAATGTAACGTGTACTCACATTAAATTGATCTCACATTTGAAATGTATAGTCCACGACTAGCAAATAATGTAACTTACATTTAGAAACACCCTTAAAAGAAAATGACCTTGGTGTAAGCGACATTAATAATTTAATTTGCCTTGTATATAAAGTGGAATCAAATTCACAGCATAATTCTCACTGCCCTTGAGCACTTTTTAGAAGGGCTTTGTTTTACTCATACTTTGAGTAGTATTAAGAACATATATTTTTACTCAACTTCCACTAATTAGTTTGGCAAGTAATGATACTTTAACCCCTTCAGACCTGAATTATGTTCCAAATTTCAGAAAAATATGATGTCGTGATGTCCATTGTAATAGACGCAGGGTCTGAAGGGGTTAACGAGAGTATGATTTTAGATTTTTCAGTACTCTTTTCACCACTGCACACCAACAGCACATTTAGCACATTTATTTTCAGGTTTGGAAGCCTCTTCTAATGTTCTGATGAGTTGATTCAGATGTGTTTGATTGTGAATAGTTTAAAAACATGTAGTGCTGGAACTTTTTTAAAATCTTCCCAATAAAACTGTTGGTGCGCCTCCAGGAACAGAGCTGTGAATCACTGTTCCTGGAAATACTGGGAAACACTGTTCCTGGGTTGGGAAACACTACCATTTAAGATTCACATTAGTGTTTTAAATCCAGCACACTTAATATAGAGTGCCCTCCGCTAATATTAGCACCCTTGGTAAATATCAGAAAAGAGTACTGTAAAAAATTCCCTTATTTTTTAATCTCTAATCTATTTAATTCAAAAGAAAAAAAAGGAAGATTTTTGCAATAAAAGTAGTGGCTTTTTAACCCTTTTGAGCTATTTTGTCTAGAGAGTAGAGGTTAATTCCTTTACTCTTTGCTCATATTTACCAAGGCTGCCAATATTATTAGATGGCACAGTATTTAGGGAGCAATACATTTGGGTTGGAATGGTTTCATTGGTTAAATCCTCCAAATTTTAGGGGATAAACATCTTATCGGTCCTTGTAAATGTCTTTCCGCCTGCGCAGCTCCTCTAAAACTCGGGCGCGATATGATGTCCAGTCCTCATCCTGCTTCTGTTGCAGGCCCAGAGCCTGATGGAGATCCTGGGAATGACTCCGCAGGAACGGATTATACTGCTTCTCCTCTAGAAGAGTGGATGGACACTATAAAGAGAGAGAACTTTATGTCAAGCCTGGTTTGTGGGAATATTTAAAACATTTAATATACCATGCCACATCACCTTAATCAACAATTTCTGTCAAAAAATATTCTGTTTCTTTTTTTTTTGGTTGGGGAAATACATGAATTAACAAAAAAAGGCAACATATTAAATATAATAAATGTATCCACTGTTTTGAAGATGAGGTCGCAATTTTACCCAAGATTTGGAGCCAAATAAACTTAATCAAAAGATTTGTAGGTTGTTAGTAAAACTTACTGACTTAGCATTATAAGTTAGGCTTAATAATGATATTTTAAAAAATGGCAAAACGCTATTTTGTGTTCTCCCCCAATGTTAACATGCCTGCAACAGAAGTACTATTAATGATATCTTAATATTCTTTAAGATTTTGGTTCTTAACAAACTTGCTTTAAGTATTTGTAAGGTTCTATGTTGTGGTTAAATTTCATTTGCTCAGTGCACATATTAATTTCCCAGAAATAAAATGTAGACCACACTGCATACAGCTAATACTTTCTTCCTTTAAAGACGAATGTATGAACAAATAATGTTGAAAGTAGAACGTATTTGGTTTGATTATTTCTCTCAAACAGAACAACTGTAATGAGCATACTTTGCGAGAGCCAAATTTTGATTGATCTGATTCTGAAGTACACTTGATTTTATTCTCTTCTTCCTTACTGTACACAGTCTCTGGCTCCTCTGTTGCAGCACCCACTGCAGTTTTTGCTCCCGAACAACATTGCCAGGCTCCACGTCAGCAGCAAAGAGCAGGTTATCCTCAGCATATTCATGTCCTTAAAAAAAGCAAAGCAAAGAGTTACACCAAAATAGTAATTTACAATAATAAACCATTTCTAATAAATGCAGCTAATAAATCCTAATATCTGCAGCATGCCATTACAAATAAGAACTGTTCATTTTGATTCCATGGTTACTTTAAACCGACTTTCAACAAAGGGTTAAGCAATGTGTATCATGTATTAGGATTTACTCTTTACTTTTTTCTCTGCATTTATATTTTAATTATTTATTCTTAAATGTGCTACACAATGTGCCTTAGATGGGTTTAGCTAAATTCAAAAAAGTCTTCAGAAACAGTTTTACATGCTCATTTATTTCCCATGAAATATCCCTAGAATCAGAAGCTCCATATTGACCTTATTTGGATAGGTTGTAAAAATCAATTTTTCACATATTGTGCCTTTTAATGACAATTTAATTCCAAGTTTGTCATTATTTTCGTAAAAACCAATTAAAACATTTACTTGAGAGTAATCTCCTTTCTATTGACTAATAGACCACATTTTTTAAATGGCAGACCTCATCTTTAAAATTTTAACATTTTGTGTAGCTGCAAAAATATGAGAAGCATTTCTGAATAGTAGTTTGAGCAAATGCAAGCAGGTTTTATTCTGTGGTTAATGTCAATTCCTGACTACTCAGGATTTAAAGTAGAAGTAAAGCAGTCAGTCCAGTTTACAATATTTTATAAACTACTTTCCACTTTCATGAAAATATATTAAACAAACACGAATTATGTAATAATTGTGAAAGAAATTAGCATGTTTTTTTTTTTTAAAGATTTATTTTTGGCCTTTTTGCCTTTATTAGAAAGGACAGCATTAAGACAGGAAGCGAAGTGGGAGAGAGAAGGGGTAGGGAAATGTCCTCGAGCCGAGATTCGAACTCGCGACGCCCTGATGTGCTAATGCACCATATGTCGGTGCACTAACCACTAGGTTATTGCGCTGACGAAATTAGCATGTTTAAATCAAGCAGCAATCTCCCGTTCTCCCTCGTGAAGCTAATACGGAAGTAACTAATACTGCGATTCGTTGAAATTCTGCTAGTCCTGGCTTCATATTAGAGCACATTTCTATTGAATCCACTGTTAAAAAAGGAAAACTTTACAGCAGTAAATGGTGTTTACAGCCTGGTACAAATAAATTTGTAAAATTTAATTTTTTTTTATAATTCATCCGTTTTGTTTATATTAAGTTATATTAAGTCTGCATAATTAAGGGCGGGGCCATTTGAGTGACACCAGGTCTCGTTGGTCGCATTCACTTCACCTCAGCTGATTCCAGCCGATTAGCCCCTGAACTCGGCATATACATGGTATTTTTGTGTCGTTTTGTGTGGCTTTACACAGTCAATCAGTCAACAACAACCTAGCACATGTGGTTAGAACATAAAGGAGTCACAGGTAATGAAGTATTAAGCAGAAAAGCTTGTCTTAGCAAAATGCTAGCGGGCATCAGTAGCTCCGCTCTCTCTTTGCCTTTGTTTGGTATCCCCCAGTTGGTGCATGACGCGTTACCAAAATGCCGATGGTTAGCCAGGCCTACTGGTAGCTTCTTTTGCATTCTTCAGAAACCTATGGATGATGTCACAGATACTACGTCCATATCTTTTACGGTCTATGGTTTTAATATAGCTTTTAGAGCTAGGGCACTGCCAACTTGGCATATCTCTGTGTCTGACGTCACTAACCAGGTTCGTTGGTTATATGTTTTTTACATTAAAGAGGAAATGAATTTACCAAATGATGTAAACATGACTGCTTCACTTCCACTTTAACACTAACCCCCAGGACAAAGTATGGAAAATAGCTCCAACTATTCAATAGTATCTGAATGCAGCCTTTAAGATGCAAACTGAGATTGCATTACTCAGTGATGCAATGTCAGACACAGTGCACTCAAATGGAGTGAGTGACGTGTGAGGGGTAGGGTTAGGTGAGCCTATTAAAAAGCATTGGATGCAGCTCAGATTGCACTGCACCAGGTCTGCATTCAGACCCCTCTCCAACTATTGCACAAATAAAAGATGATTCTGACTGTTTCACAGCTTCAAATAATGAAAAAAAATTGTGTTTCATTACCAGGCCAAAGCAGAGTATCATCATTCAGTGATCCCACGGTATCCAGAGAGGACAGCATAGTCGAGGCATTACCCTCAAACATTCTCCCTACAAGGATTGGAAATGAGTCAGAGCTGTAAACAGAGCTGGATTGAAGAATGCCGAATTTTTATTTGCAGTTCTGAAATACTCTGCTGTGGATCAATACTGGGTAAATAGTCATAGTAATTGCAAAGTATAAACACAATGCCAAACAAAGCAGTCAGGTAACAATAGCATTACAAATATTGTAAACAAACTCATAAAATATTTTTTTAAACACGCACACACAGACAGCAAAATGATTAATGTCTCGCTCACCGCATCCAGAGAGGAATACCAGATCCCCTGAAAACAGGCTGCTGGGACCACCGATCGCACGGCCGTCAAGCAAGTAGATCATGTGACCCACTGTGTGTCCTGGTGTGTAGAAGGCCCTGAAGTGTAGTTGAGTTCCAAAATCTATTGTGTCTTTGTCTAAAAGGGGGCTAAAAAATACAGAATGTCCAAAAAAATATTCAAAGCTTTCTGTAATTATAACATCATACATACAGTAAAATAGTTTAATATGTATTAGAAAACACAGAGTGGGAAGTAATTTTTCAAATAAACACATCTTTATTAACCAAATAAACTTATTCAGATATATTTTTTCTATTTCTGTTGCATTTAAAAGAATAGTTCACCCCAAATTTTTAATTAGGTCATAGTTTAATCACATGCCACTTGCTGAAAGCATTTTTGAGTTTCTCAAGACATACAAATGATATTTTAAACAACGTTGGAAACGGGTATCTATTAGCAAATTTTTCCTACCAAGGAAGTTAATAGCTACAATTTACCAGCATTCTTCATTATATTTTTTTTTGATCCACACCAGAAAGGTCTGGAATAACTTCAAGGTGAGTGAATTTGTTTTTTGTTCAAATATTTCTTTAAAGTGGTCATGCCTATTTTATGTTTTGTTTTTTATTCTTCTTTGTGGTCCACTTAGAATGTTATAAAGATATACATATATAAATAAGAGAAATTGAAAGTAATTGTCTATTTTTGTCCTGCTTCGACTCCTCCTCTCATTGGAGAACACTATTTAAATCAGTCTGGAGGATTGTAGACTCGGAAATGAATGTCCACTGATATGATTGGCTGACAGTTTGCAATTTTTAACAATTTTTGAAAGCTAAAAAAAGGCATCACGGTGGTGGAGTTGATATCACAATCGCTTCACAGCAAGAAAGTCGCTGGTTCGAGGCCAGCTGGATCAGTCGGTATTTCTGTGTGGAGTTTGCATGTTCTCCCTGTGTTTGCATGGGTTTCTTCCGGGTGCTCTGGTTTCACCCTCAAGTCCAAAGACATGCGGTATAGGTGAATTGGGTAAGCTAAATTGTCTGTAGTGTAAGTGTGTGAATGAGAGTTTGTGTGCGTTTCTCAGTGATGTGTTGCAGCTGGAAGGCCGTCCGCTGCGTAAAAACATATGCTGGATAAGTTGGTGGTTCAATCCACTGTTAAGGGACTGAGCCGAAAAGAAAATGAATGAATGAATGAATCAAAGACAGATTTGTAAACTTCTGCATGTATATTTGATAGCCTACATCCCTCATAGATGGATGCTGCATTGATTTATAGTTAAAAAAAGTATAAATACTCATGTTAATGTCAAATTATCTGTGAAAAGCAACAATGAATGTAATAAAAACTGTTTTGTGGTGCAACATCACTGTTGAACTCAGTACTATCAGCACAGAATTGTCTTTCTGAAAATCAAGCAATGAATTGTGCCTTGTTTGTGAATGAGTCTGTAATAAAATTAAGTAAACAAAGGACTACGTTCTTACTGAGTTGGTCTAGAACAGTGGTGTCCAAACTCGGCCCTGGAGGGGTGGTGTCCTGGAGAGTTTAGCTCCAACCCTAATCAAACACAGCTGAACCAGCTAATCAAGCGTTTACTAGATATACTAGAAACTTCCTGGCAGGTATGTTGAAGCAATTTGAAGCTAAACTCAGCAGGACACCGGCCCTCCAGGACAGAGTTTGGACAACCCTGGTCTAGAACATAATTAAAATAAAGTATTTTATATCTATTTTGTATTTTTATAGTCTGGTTTCTGCATTGACCTGTATTTGCCTCTCATTCCTTACCTAGTAAGTTGGTGGGTGTGGCTAAACAGGCAATGATGAAGATTTTCTACTGTGGAGGCGGAGTTTAAACACAGTATTGTATTACAATAGTGGCACATTAGGCCGATATGCTTCAATATAAGCTGTTTTTTAACTTACAGGATGCTTTTTTAATAATAATAATTTTATAATAATGACCTTTTTTATGTTTAAAGATCAAGGGAATTTCCATTTTTATTAGTTTGTGAGCCCTTTCAAAGAATCTTTATTAATTACTTACCTTCATGTCATTCTAAACCTGTGCATTTATTCATTCATTTATTTTCTTTTCGGCTTAGTCCCTTTATTTATCTGAGGTTGCCACAGCGGAATGAACTGCCAATTTATCCAGCATATGTTTTACGCAGCGGATGCCCTTCCAGCTGCAACCCAGTACTGGGAAATATCCATACACACTCATTTACACACATACACTTTGGACAATTTAGCTAACTCAATTCACTTATAGCGCATGTCTTTGGACTGTGGGGTAAGCCGGAGCACCCAGAGGAAACCCACGCAAACAGAGGCTCGAACAAGCAACCTTTTTGCTGTGAGGTGATCGTACTACCCATTGCGCCACTGTGATGCCCCCTTTGCATTTATTATTTAATAAAAGACATTTTTGAAGAATGTTCTTGTCCATAGAATGGTTGCTTTGAAACATTAGATCCATTAAAACTGTCTTTAAAATGTTTATTTTGTGAGAGCAGAATATGGAATGGCATCTAAACAATGTAAAATATTCGTTTGAACAGTTCAAATGATACATGATGGGATGGCAGAACAGCAGGTACTGACTGTGTGAGGCCTGGAATGTTGTCCATTGCGTTCCCATACACTCGACAGGAGCTGTAGCGTCTTTTTAAAGCCCTGTTTCCTCCACTGTGGTCCCTGGTTGGGAGATAATTGAATTACAAAACATACTTTGATTCAATCAATCACTCCAAGCAAACAAGACGTTTGGTCATCTTTACAACTTGATCATATCCCATTCGTAAGAATTACTTTAGCAATATCTCTTCTCTTTTAAAAGAATGCACTTTTTGATTTTAGCAAATTACAAGATCTTAAAGCTTCTACATACTTACATCACACCCATCCTAGAATTCTCATACAACTCTATAAATGTACTCTCCACTAGCAGTAAACATAACTGAATATTTATTAGTCATAATCATTCTGCTATAGTTGCTTGCAAAAATTATTTGTTCAGCAAGTAGACATTTTTGGCATTTTTAAATGTGGCTTACCAGTGCTTATGTGTGCAGAGAACAGCTTGTAAAGCCACCCCCTCTGCCTCTAGGCATGCCTGTGTGGGAGTAAGGACAGACTATGAGAAATGAGATAAAAATAGTTATGGTTCTGGCTAATTTCACCCTCAAGATGACTTACACATGCCCTGTAAAGCATCTCTTCAAGTAGATGAAGAGCCCTACATATTTTGATTGCGACAAAACATTCCTTACCATAAAGTGATACATAAAGTTTATGTTTACACAAAAATTTTGATTCACTGTTAATTTCTTCAACAGGGTTGAAGACTTTTTGAAATTTGAGACTTTTAAAAACAATTTTAAGACCATTTTGAATGAAATTTTGGACATATACAGGGCTAAATGCTAAGGATTTTTTCGAATATCTCAGTAGGAAAAGATTTTTACTTGCCCTATAAAAAATCATTATAATTTGATACATTTAATAATAAAATAATAATAAATATTATTAAGAAATAATATAGGTCAGGTCAGTATCCTCAGCACTAAATAAATGGAGAACTTTTAAACAAATTTTATTGTAAGGAAAGTAATTAAATGCTAATTGTAATTAAAGAGTTAAGTTGTATTGAGATGGATTGTTGGTGACTGTATGGATGTTAATGGGCAGATTGGGTAGCAATCCATAAACAAGGGGAAATTAAGACCTACAACACATTATATCAGTAGATTTAAGACTTTTTAAGGCCTAAAAGTTTGCTTTTAAGATTTAAGACATTTTAAGACTTTGAGACCCAGTGGATACCCTGTTCAAGCATCCAAAATGTAGGTCAGTACTTTTCTTTTTCAGCAAATCATTTGAGATTTTCTGCAAAAAATCATTAATTAATTGATAGCAAGTAAATCGCTACTGCACTGTAAAAAATTGCTATAAAATTTACAGTTACTTTAAATGTACAAGTGCACTGTAAATTAACAATTACAGCTGTGCTGTGGTGTTACGTCACAGTTGCAATTGTTAATTTACAGTGCGCTTGTAAATTTTGCCAGTAAAAAAATTGCTATTAATACTGTAAAATTTACAAGCAGATTGTAAATTAATAATTACAAAACTACAGCACAATTGTAATTGTTAATTTACAGTGCACGTGTACATTTTAAAGTACAACGGACAACCAAAATTCCTAATAATACTGTACAGAAATTTGTAACAATCTGGTTCTTTTTGAGTCGAGTTTATTATATATTTGGGCTTCTCATGATATATTGAGCAAATCTAAGGCAGAAAAATGGGTCTTAACATTATTTACCAGCTTATTTAAAACAAAACTTCAGCAAATGATCCTCATTGCTTTCATTGAATTCTTGCGCATGAGCTTCCGGAAACTTAGTTTCAAAATGAGCTGGTGGTAGTTGTTTACAGCTGTTTATATGGGTTGCAGCATCCAGAATAAGCAGAAGTCAGTTCCATTTTAATGAACAAGAGAGCACACATGTCGTCTTTCCTTTCATAAACCATTCTATCATCTTTCCTAATGAATGTCAGCTCATGTGGGAGTTTGTGATTATGCATACCATCACATCATAAACAGTTGAAGTCAGAATTATTGGCCCTCTTTTGAATTTTATTTTCTTTTTAAAATATTTCCCAAATGTTGTTTACCAGAGCAAGAAAATTTCCACAGTATTTCCTATAATGTTTTTTTTTTCTTCTGGAGATGTATTTGTTTTATTTTGGCTAGAATAAAAGCAATTTTGAATTTTTAAAAGCCATTTTAAGGTCAATATTATAAGACCCCTTGAGCTATATTATTTTTTGATTGTCTACAGCACAAACCATCGTTATACAATGACTTGCCTAATTATCCTAACCTGCCTAGTTAACCCTTTAAATTGCCCATTAAGCTGAATACTTATGTCTTGAAAAATATCTAGTAAAATATTATTTACTGTCATCATGGCAAAGATAAAAGAAATCAGCTATTAGAAATGAGTTATTAAAACTATTAAGTTTAGAAATGTGTTGGAAAAATCTTCTCTTCAGAAATTGGGGGAACAATAATTAAGGCTAATAATTCAGGGGGGCTAATAATTCTGACTTCAACTGTATATCATGACTGGAAAACTGTTTTCAGGACTGTAACCTAAGATTAAAGGTGACAACATAGTAAATGTGCAAAATAATCATTTCACTTCATAAGACCTGAATGTATCATTAGTAGTCATAAACTATTAATTTGGTTTTTGCCTATGCATATAAATTATTCACACTTTACAAAAGGTTTCATTTGTTTATGTTAGTACATGCATTTATACATTTCATGCTTGTTAACATTATTTGCAAGACGCACTGCGACTTTATTTCCAATAGCTAACGTTAATAAAGATGAATCAATAATGTAATAAATGTATTGTTCTTTGTTTGGTCATGTTAGTAAAAATATACATTAACTAAGACTAACACAACCTTATTGTAAAATTTTACAGATAAATTTAAATATACTCAGATACACAGCATAAAAAGTGTCAATAGACTTTGACTTCTGAATTACCAAGGACCATATTTACAGCAAAAAAAAAAAAAAAAAATTGTGCTTACAAAAGAAAAAAGCTGTTCATTTTTGGGGGAATAATTATTGAGGGAACTTAAGATTTAATTTTTTTTTAATTTAGGAAAAAAAAAAACTGGAATCCTTCCATTACGATGGCAGATTTCCTCTAAAAATAACAGAAAATGACCCCATCTTAAACAATCCTGGTAAACCAGTGAGGAAAAGGGAATACTTTCCACCAACCACATGGGTTTGGCAATTTCTCACTACAGTAAGACACGTAATCCAGCAAACTACTTGTAAAACCACTGCAAAGATGGTTTATGTCAAACCTGAACAGGCTGAGGGTCAGCGGGATCGACCACAACAGCCGTATTTGATGCAGTGTCGATAACCACATAGCTGTAGTTGTCTAATAAGATGGGAACCGGTATGATCTTGATGCCTGTTGAAAGTAATAGAGTGTGACATTAGAGATAATCAGCCGTTGAGTGTATGACGGAAAAGGTCTTTCTGCTCACCATTTATTATAGTCGGCTGAGCTCTGGAGTGGCCAGTGGGATACCGTTCCCGTGCTTTTTTCATCTGCCTCTTGTGAAATATGTACCCGAGTTTGGTCCGTGTATACAGAGAGTACCTAATAGTAAAAAAAAAAGGACAACTATGTTGGTTCTCTATGAAATTAGACAGAAATGCAGTAGACATTCTTATTATAACAAGCTAACTGAGGAAAAGTTGGTTTTACACTCACACATTTTCACTTTCTCCTTAATATTATAATTTCAGAAAAGTGTTCTTTGCAAATTCTAAATAGGGAAATCATATTGGCAGCCAAAGACTATCAAAGTACAGCATTGTTCACAGTCAAATAAATAGTGCTAATGTTGTTTTGAAGTCATACTTGTATGATATTTCTGACCAAAATATTCAAAGTAGCATGGTAAACAATATAGGGACTGTCTATGACAAGCCGTTTTGACATTTAATCTATAACCCGTACTAGTATCTATTTTCATGTTACTAGTGCTTATTTTTTAGATACTAGTATCTTTTCCATTAAGTACTAGTGCTTATTTATTAGATACTAGCGCTTATTCATTAGATACAAATGCCTATTCGTTAGATACTAGTGCTTATTCATTAGATGCTAGTGTCTATTCTTTAGAGCAGGGGTGTCAAACTCAATTCCTGGAGGGCCAAAGCCCTCCACAGTTTAGTTCCAACCCTGCTCCAACACACTTACCTGTAGGTTTCAAACAAGCCTGAAGGACTCAATTAGTTTGATCAGGTGAGTTTAATTAGGGTTGGAACTAAACTGTGCAGAGCAGCGGCCCTTTTGGAACTGAGTTTGACACCTGTGCTTTAGAGACTAGTGCTTACTCATTAGTTCTTTTTAGATACTAGCACTCATTCATTAGATACTAGTACTCATGTGTTAGATACTAGTACTTGTTCATTAGGTACTAGTACTTATTAAATAGATACTAGCTTTTATTTATTAGATACTAGTACTTATTTTAATAGCGACTAGAATCTATTCTGTTGTTGCTAGTAACAAATACATTTTTTTCCATTTATTTATATATTGAGATATCAACTATTCAGTTTTGACTAGTATGCATTCCAGCTAGGATTAGTACATATTTTTATGTAGTTACTAGTAGTTAATCATTGCTAGTACTTATAAATTAGATACTAGTACCTAATTAATAGATGCAAGTACTTATGTATTAGATACCACTACTTATTTATTAGGTACTAGAATATATTTAATAAATATAGTGCTTATTAAAAAATATGAGTACTAATTAAATAGGTATTACAACTTATTTAAAATATACTAGTACACTTTATTAAATTATAGCACTTGTTTGAAATGTTACTAGTATTTAAAAAAAAAATTTTAGTCAAATTTTTAAAATCAAACTCCACTCTTCCATTTGGACTTGTCATAACATAAGACGAGTAAAAAAGCAGAACTGATAGTAAAATAATAATGGTAACTAGTATTAGTTATAAAAGATACTAGTGAAAAAATATTTTATTATTATTTTTATTTTTTTTTTTATTTTGCTCTTTTATTAATAATCTTTCTATGTTCCTTCCTAATATGTGCTTATTGCTGTTTTTACTGTTTTATGCTCATATCATGTGTCTATTTTATCTCTGTAAAGCACTTTGTTCAGCCTTGTGGCAGATGGAAATGTGCTATATAAATAAATAGAACTTGAACTTGAACTAGTGTCCAATAAATGCTAGTACTCATGAATAACTACTTGTCTCTATTTAATAGTTACTAGTATCTAATGAATTGGTTCCAGTTTCTATTTAATAAGTACTAGTATCTAATACATAAGTACTGGTATCTATTAATTAGATACTATTGTCTAATTAATGAGTACTAGTACATAAAATTATGTACTAGTCCCAGCTGGAATACATACACATTCAAAACTGAATAGTTAAGATCTCAATGACTGACCCCTTAGAAATCAATAGAAAAATTTTTTTATTTGTTACTAGTAACAACAGAATAGTTACTAGTTGTCACTATTAAAATAAGTACTAGTAACTAATAAATAAGAGCTGGTATCTGTTTAATAAGTACTAGTATCTAATAAATATGTACCATTACGTATTAAATAGATCAATTCTAATGAATACTTACTAGTATCTAACACATAAGTACAAGTATCTATTCAATAGGTACTAGTATCTAATAAATGAGTACTAGTATCTAATAAAAAGAACTAGTGTCTAATAAGTAGGCCCACACGAAATCTGCAATCATTAATTCTGTTAATTTGCTTGTGTAAATGTGTGTAAATCTTTATTTATTCAGTTTTTAAATTAATTACAGTAATATTATTGACTAATATGAAAATGTTCATCTGATTTTTGTACAATGCAGTTTGTTCAGTAATATTTTCTGTTTTTAGTAGATATATTATAAGAGAGACTTGCTTTGCTTACCAAATAAAGTGAATGTAATTGGATTTGCATTTTAAACAATAAATAAAAGTTAAAAATATATTATTTTTTATTTTACATATTAAGGTTTTAGTTAGGATACTCCCAAAATAATTCCGCATAAATCCGCAGATTTTTTGCAAAATTCTGCACAGAAATAGCAAAAAACGTCTGCAGACTCCGTCTGGCCCTACTAATGAGTAAGCACTAGTATATTTTTTAAAAAGCACTAGTATCTAAAGAATAGCAACTAGTATCTAATGAACAAGCACTAGTATCTAATGAGTAACCACCGGTATCTAAAAAATAGGCTCCAAATTAGTATCTAAAAAATTAGTTTGGTTTGGTTAGTTTATAAACTATTAACATGAAAATAGATACTAGTAGACTGTCACAAGTTGTCATTGAATATGTGTGAATATAAAACCAACTTTACATCAATAGCTAACGTTAGCTATTGTATTTATTCTACCGTTTTTATAACAAGTACGCAAGATTAATTTATTTAAACCACAACTTCATTGATCTAAGGTACTATGTAGACTATGTCTTGAATTGTATACTGATATGTAGGCTATAATATGTAATATAGTAATATCCATATATTAAAAACAGACAAAGATTAATTGACGTATCAGTGTCATTCACTAAATGAAAGATTTAATGCATTTATTTAAGAATCTTAATTCTGATTTAATACCAAACGCAAAACGGTAATACCAATACCAACGCTGATTCAATACCAACGCTGAAAACAGCAGTAAAGTTAGACTAATGTAAACAACAACAAAAACAACAACTAAAATACGCAGTGTGACCAAAAAGCAACTTACGCAATCCAAAAAAGCGGTTTCTCTGAGCGAGCCATCAGCTTAGCGATCTGACTGTTTTTCCACGCACTTTTCCTGGCGCATTTAACAACTCTACAAATGTAAAATCCGCCACAGACTGAAGCAATACACAGTAAATACACGGTCCACTCCGGAAGCGCCATTACAGTAGGCGGGCGGCGATGACGCGATTAAGGAAACAATTACGATTGGCCAGAAGTGACAGTCACCGTAAAGACTCGTATTTTACTTTTTCACGCATTTATTTTTTTATTATATGCAAGTATATTGTTGATTTTAGCACACATCCTATTGCATCTATTTATTCTTGCATTTTTTTATTGGATTTTTGACTACAATTGCTCTTGTAAGGTATAAACAGTGCTGGCAAGTGAGTGATTATATATTAGAATATTTGCGTAATTAGGTTACACATGTATGTTTGTAGGCCAATTTGTGTATGTGTGTGTGTGTGTGTGTGTCATGTGATGTATATTATTTAACAATCCATCATTCTGATTAAACAAATTTTAAACAAGGAATTATTAAACAAATTATTGAACTGATGACAAAAAAGTAGGCCTACCTATTTTTTAATTCATGTATACTACAGTTTTACAACACACACCATGGTTAAACTATGGTTAGTATTAATTAAGTAAAAAGTAATTTATTAGGTAATAATTTAGTCATGGTTCAACTCCAAATACATTTTTAATTTGTGTAACCATATAGTTCATTTTTGTAAGGGTTTGTGCACGTGTTGCAAACTGTTTCCTAACTTTTTAAATCGTACTTAAAGTCACTGAAATTAAAATGTATATTTCAAGAATTTTAAACATATGCTGGATAAGCTGGCGGTTCATTCCGCTGTGGCAATCCCAGATTAATAAAGGGACTAAGCCGAAAAGAAAATAAATGAATGAATGAGTTTTGAAAAATAATTTTTTTACACTTACTGGCCACTTTATTAGGTACACATGTCTAACTGCTCGTTAACGCACATTTCTAATCAGCCAATCACATTGCAGCAACTCTTTGTCTTTAGTGTTTGCAGAGAATGATCCGAAAAAGAGAAAATATCCAGTGAGCGGCAGTTCTGCGGGCACGAATACCTCGATGCCAGAGGTCAGAGAAGAATGGCCAGACTGGTTCAAACTGATAGGAAGGCAGAAGTAGCTCAAATAACCACTCGCTGCAACTGAGCTATGCAGAAGAGCATCTCTGACCATCTTAGACTGGTTTCTTAAACATGACAATGTGTTCACTGTGCGCAAATAGCCTCCAGTCACCAGACCTTAATCTAATAGAGCACCTTTGAGATGTGGTGGTACGGAAGATTTGCATCATGGATGTGCAGCCGACAAATCTGCAGCAACTGTGTGATGCTATCATGTCAATGTGGACAAAATCACGAAGGAATATTTCCTGTATCTTGTTGAATCTATGACTCTAAAAATGTAATCTGTATGTTTATTTAGGGATATTTTCTCTTGAAAAAAATTAACTTAAATACTCTTTTCTTATAACTGTTATCGTTATATGCAGATGAGACTATCCAGTGCCACTGATGAGATGATCCCAAGGTTTCCATAATCCTGGACCAGGCCATATCCTGAGCAGCTGCTGTGGTGGTCATGGAGGAGTGGAGAGCATGAGACTGATTCCTGTGGGACAAACAAGTTTTGTTGACGTCCAGCTTCTCCAGCACCCAGACTGCAGCTCTGCACAAGACGTTTGGCCATCGGAGAAATGGTCGTGCCCAACTGAGCCTGGTTTCTCAAAAGGTTTTCTTCACTTTCGCCAATTGGTGAAGTATTTTCCTCGCCACTGGCCAGCTTGTTTCGGGACCTGTAGAGCTGCGCATGGATGGATTTGCTCTTCAGTGTTTTGACTCACATTAGTGATTATTAAACCACACTGAACTGAACTGAGCTAAACTGAACTGAATTTAAACACTGAAAACTGAACGACACTGTTTCGATTTACTATGATCTTCTATGTAAAGCTGCTTTGACACAATCTACATTGTAAAAGCGCTATACAAATAAAGGTGTATTGAATTAAATTGTATTATTCGTAACTTCAATAAATAAAATATATATATATATATAAATTGTGTGTCTGCCTTACAATCTGGTCAACTCTATTACATAAAAAGGCTAAACAATCTGTAAAGCACCAAGGCATGTCATTATTGTTCGCTCATTAATTATTTTTCTGATTTTTATATTGTGTTATAATTGTTCATGTAATGGGACAATCATTTGGCAATGGCATTAAGCTAATTAAATTTTTTTCAATTCTTTTTTTGAGCATTTTTTGTTTATAATCTTACCTTTTCACAATAAAACTCTCTCTAAACTTGTCTTAAAAAATAGGGGTAAAGGACCTGCAGTTTGGCACCACCTTGTGTAAGAAAACAAAGCAATCAATCTAGCAAACACACACACACACACAGAGACACATGCCCGCTTGTTCTCAGAATACAAATATTCAGCTTGGGTGTGTCTGCTAGTTCACCACACCTCGAGACCTGGCTGAGCTCTCACAGTGTTTTTAGTGAAGTGCTACATAATAATAAGCAGATAAACTTGATTCATTATAGTTTTCATTTGAATAGTGACCAAAACATCATTTTCATGGTAAACTAATCTTGTCGATTTTGCGAAACGCCATGTTGCAGCTGCTGTTGACTCCACCTGCTGGTTTGTAAGCATCTTGAGTCACCGAACGTCATCCATCGCCTGACTGCTGCTTTTACATACGTGCAGTTGAGAGAAGAAGGTGGACCAGGGTGTCAACTGTTTTATTTAATCAGACTCTCGAGGGATCTATCTTTTGATACTTCTTTTTTCGAGTTTCGACATCGATCGTATAACGTTAGTTTTTTTGGTTTTTGGATTACAAGACAGCGCGTGGTAAGTATTGTCACATTTTTTGTTATAAACAACGGGGTACCCTTCTGTTCGAAAAGTTTTTACATAGATTTTTTTCATCGTTTTTTTATTTAAAAACGATAAAATAGTCGTACCAGCTGTTAGTTTGGGGCAAAATGTGGTTACCATGGTAAATATTTATAAGGGGAAGTGAAGCCAACATGTTCACATGTTCAGGATGGCGTCCAAGAGCTGTAGAGTAGTCACTTTTAGGATGTTTTCATAACTATATAATTGACATGTAGTCTATTTTTAAAGATGAACTTTCACGTGAGGAAAATGGCAGACCAAAATACTCCCTGACCCCTTATGATTTTAATATCTTTACAATCTGTGGCTTGTTTTTAAAACTTTAAACTCCCAAGCTAACCAATAGCATTTTTAGGCAACATCCACTTAACACAGCCGTGATGCCATAAAACTAGTAGTATGCACTTAGTAGGCTCACTAGGTAATAAAACATTGCCTAATAAGATTTATTTTTGTTTTAACTGCATTAACAATACTTTCTATTCAATACATATGATTTTTAACCAACTGTTTGGTCAGTTTTGCCTGACAAAAAGCTTATGTTTTAACTATGCTTAGTTATACAAAGTGTTTAGTTGAACATGGCAGATTGCATAACATTTTGGCTAGTCTTATTCATCAGGGAGGTGGACCAGCAAGTAAAGGAAGTAAAAAAAAAAAGTGTCATTTATTTTCCACTTTAAATGTAAAAGATTGCTTAGCAGAGCCCACAATGATGTAACAGAGTGTGTGTGGTAGGTTTGCTTGAGTCATGCTGGCTGTGTTGAGCTGATACAAGAAGAATGGAGACATTCTTTTCCAGTCTGGCTTAAATTACAGATAATGTTATTGTAAACATTTGGAAAAACCTACATGCCTTCTAAAATGACTTCTTAAAACACTTCCATATGCTTGGTTTTAAAAGTAAAAATCACATTAACTTGGTTTTATGTTGTTCCTCAAGTTCTGTCACGTGTCCTGAGGTATTTATTTGCATTTAGCAGCTACCTGTGACCTAATTCCAGTCTTGTCTGAAATGAATCTGACAGTCACTCCTAACAGAACATGAAATGTTGAAACGCCTTCTCCCAGGATACTTTCAGTAAATGACGATCCCTGGTTAAACGTTGAATAAGATTTTCCTCAGCAGATGTAAGTCACATGTTCATACTGACCTCACTGTGTGTGTTTCTGAGACCTGCTTTACATTTGTTAGATAAAAGGAAACACTGATCCTGGCACATGCAGTAAATGCTGTTAACATGGACTCTCTCCCTATAAACAGAGCATAGTAAAGCAGCATTTGAGGGCAAACTAGCCGAATTCATGCTTCTCACTATAAAGCTTTTCATGGGTTGAGCCTTGACGGTTATTTTCAGGAAGACTGTTTAGAGTGTGGTCAGTGATGCTTTTTTTGCTGTCAAGACTGTGAGAGTGAAAATGGCTACACTGCATTTGTAGATTTAGTATTTCATCAGAGTGCATCAATGTTACGTGACTATAATAATACTAATGCTTCTGTGAGTTAATCAAATCACAAGGAGGAAACTGTACTCCTAGATCATTTATTTTCATATCTTTCCTGCATGAGATTTTAGGATGTGGTGCTTGGTTTCAGGTTAGCATCTTGAGTTATAGCACAAAATGGTGGAAAAAATGTCTACCCTGTTAGTGGTTTAAAAAGTTTAACAATAAGCTGTTTCACAGATTCAAATATTCCCTCATTTAAGCGTTTCGCTTTATTTTACTAAATAATTGATTCAGTTTACCTTAAAGAGAGAGAATGTTAAATGGTTTATACCAGGGGTTCTTAATGTCTACATTAAAAGGTCCAAATCTGAATTTTTATCAAGGTTAAAGGTCCGGAACAATTGATATTCCATAACTTGTTTTTAATAAATATTCATAACATGCATCACAAGTCAACACTATTTATTTTTCTTTAAAGAAAGTGGCATTTGAATTGTGGCAAATGTGACAAAACCACTAATAAAAGTTCATATTTGTACAAAACACAATAAAAGATAGGCAAAAGAACAACAAAAAAACAACAACAACAGTATCTGGATGCAGCCATGATGATGCAAGCTGAGATTTCAGAGATGCAATGTCAGACACAATGCACTCAATGGAGCTAGTGACGTCACTGTGAGAGGTATAGGTGTGGGCATTAAAAATAGCTTTGTGCTGGCTTGTGGCAAAGTAAACGCATACTTATCTGTTCATTCAACTTACAAATGTCTATTCTCTTCATTAAGTTTTCTTTTCCATGAGACCGTCATCTGCATCCATTCAAATAAACAATTTGCTGCGGTGTGTTAAATGAATAAAATGAATAAAACCCACAATTTGAATCCTTTATGCATGGTCTTGCAGTACAAAATACAAAAGAGTTGTGTCTGGATTGAATACCCTACCGGTCCAGATCTGGACTGGAGTCCTGACATTGAGAAGCCCTGGTTTATAGTAATTTAACATTACTGACAATTTACTTTTCAACTTAAAGGGATAGTTCACGCAAAAATTAAAATTTCCTGGTAATTTACTTGCCCATAGGTCATCCTAGATGTAGGTGACTTAGTTTTTTTTTTCTTTAGTAGAATATTAAAGAAGGTTTTGAGCTTTGACTGTGGTTTATTTTTTATTTTTTGTATAAACGCAGTGAATGGTTACAAGTTTTTTATATTAAAACTAAACGCATAAACAAGCCCAAATCAACAAATCAATAGCCATAACTTCTGTTGGCTAGGGATGGAACGATTCAATTGACTCTTGATGCGATAAGATTCACGATACTAATTTCATGATTCATAATTTTAGACAAATTTAAGGTGAACAAGAGTCCTTTCATTTTTTTCTCAATTGCTGCACAATTCTTTTTCTTTTTTAAAAAAGAAAATATTTTCTGCCTTAACCAAAGTGGAACTTTAAAACAAAATCCAAATAAAAAAGTGCATAATACAAACTAAAGAAGACTTTATTATAAACAAACTAAACAATTCACTGCAACTAAATTACAAATTTAAAACAAAAATGAACAATGCAAATTAAAGAACACTCTTTAATACAAACAAACTAAATATGTGACTGTGGTAGGATTTTACTTTTTTTTTTTAAAGAAATATCAGAATAGAAATATCTATGTTTTCTGTAATAAAAAAAAGGAACAATCTAATATCTGGTTCTGTAACAGTACAGCTTCCTTTTTCAGTCTGAAAAACATCTTCATGCTTTTGCTGTGAAAACACTGATGCACCATCTCTACAGCACTCAACATCTCCATTCCTTCAACATTTCTACCGATTTGAATCATCACATATTTAAATCGATTTTAAACTGGCTCATGGTGAATCGCTATATACCAACTGATGACACATTGAGGTTTTGTGATGGAAACAATCGCTCCGTGTAAGAAATGGAACAATACTTATAATATTATTAGCTTTGATCCACAGTCTAGTCAAACAGTTCTCGGCGCGTGTGTGACTGTGGTCTGATGGCTTTTGAGGAAAAAGACAAAAACGCGAGACCTGGTGACGTATTCATAGATATCTTTCAACAATTTGCATCACCTGACCGCTCATGCAAGTTTCCTTTCATCCTCGAAAGCGACTGGACTAGACTACGGTCACTAGGCCTGTCACAATAATCAAATTATCGACTTATCGTGGAATATTTGTACATGACCTCAATCATTTTTGGTGTTTCAGTATTTAAAGTTATTTTACATTTTACCTCACTGATGTCAGAGTTAATAATTGGACAATTCTTTAATAGTACAATTAATAGGATATATAAATGGACATTTACGTCATTTTTGACATCAAATTACAAATCTAAGTGACCTCAAGAATGAAAAGCCTTAGTTCTTTGAAAGTGGCATAAAGTGATCTCAAAATGACTATAATATCGCTTATTAGGCCTGCACGATATTGCAAAAATCTGACATTGTGATGTTTTTGTTTTTCTGCAATAAATATTGCAATATAGATGGAATAGATATATGATTTTACCAGATGATGCACAGGGTGGGCCATTTATATGGATACACCTTAATAAAATGGGAATAGTTGGTGATATTAATGTCCTGTTTGTGGCACATTACTATATGTGACGGGGCAAACTTTTCAAGACGAATGGTGACCATGGTGGCCAATCTGAAGTCGGCCATCTTGGATCCAACTTTTGTTTTTTCAATAAGAAGAGGGTCATTTGATATATATATATATATATATGTATATATATATATATATACACAATTTCATGAGATCAATTGAAAACTGCTATTTTGAAATTATTTATTTATTTACAATTGGAATGATTCTGTAGGGAAGTGAATCATTCATAAAAATGTTAAAAAACGAATTCAAATCAAAGATAAGTAAAAGAAACTGTTTAATGGCTTTCGGGCAGTCAGATAGTATTCAGATGTGGAATTTGAATAATCAAATGTAAAATAAAACTGCAAAAGTAGTTATATATTAATAAAAGAATATTCTTTATTTTCAAGAGTTCACACTTAGCTGATAATCAATAAAGCGTATTTGGCATGCTGTCCCGGGAGAGAGCCCTGAGCTTGTAATATCCTCGAGCCCGGGGCTCCCTCCCGTTAGAAGGGCGAGAGGGGAGTTCGAGGTCAGGTAGGTCTCGAAAACTCCCCTGCTTGTCACCGTGAGAAGTGTGAACTGAGGTTGTATTGGGTGATAATTTGTTTTAGTCGATTTGGCTATGGTTCATGTTTTGGACGGTGGGAGGAAACCGGGGAACCCGGGGGAAACCCTCTCGAACATGGGGAGATCATGCAAACTCTGCACAGAAACACCGACAGGCCCAAAAGGTTGGACCGGCGGTGTTCTTGCTGTGAGGCTACAGTGCTAGCCACTGGGCCACCGTGTCGCCCAATCAGAAAAAGGAGGAGGATGAAGGGGTGGAAAGGGGGGAGCTTCAAGACGAAGATAACTGGAGTGACAAACTCAGGTTATTTATAATGCTTCCGTAATCATCTAATAGGGCTGATTACGGAGCTAATAAGGAGCCAGCCGTGTTGATTATAAGCACGTGATCCTCTCGAAATTAGTTTATGAATAAACCACATAAAGCTACAAACGGCAACATTTTTTGTTCCTAATTACTTGAATTCTATCAGGCCTTAAAAACACGTGCAGATGAAATATTTTCATTGTAGTTAAACTTTGCAATAGCTACACAATTCTGATGTGTCCCAAACTGTTTCTCCTGGTCAACTATAATCATAACTCAACATAGCAGATCCTGCGATGTGACTTGCGAATGTACACATTGCGATATCGATACTAAAAGGATATATTGTGCAGTCCTATCGCTTATCAAAACGTTTTCTGTGACAATATATTACACAACGAAAATTCTTTATCGTGACAGGCCTAACAATCACACATGCAAACAAACAAAACTTTAATCTGATTTTCTAACAAAACTCACTCGCGTATTGCCTTACTGTCTACTAACATCTTCCCAATTCTGCTTGCCACTGCTGCTTTTTTTGCAGTCACGACTGTAAAAGTGAAAATGGCTACACTGCGTTTGCAGCTTTTGTATTTGATCGGAGTGCACTGACATTACAGGACTATAATAGTACTGATGCTTGCATGAGCTAATCAAATCGCAAGGAGGTGTCTGTACTCCTAGAATCATTCATTTTCATGTCTTTCCTGCACGTCATTGTAGATATTAAAATGGAATTTTTAAAAAATGTGGCATGTGTCAACTTGCAGCATAGCAGAGTGGATTTATGTCCACTTTATCTGTTGTTTACATCTCAAGCTCTTGAACTCGACACACAGCCACATTACTGCTGTTTACCAAGGACTTCTTTCTTATGGCAAGAGGTCTTGAACTTGAGGCAGGAAGGATATTCTAATCTAAGTTTAGAGCTCTCTCAGAAACATTGTGCTTAATGACTGGGATCCTTCTATGTTTCCGTCTGAATAATGAAATAAATGCTCTCATATGGCATGCTATATAAATGATTTTATCTGCACTGTTAAATTACACTGTATATAAATGTGTTAAATCACACTGTATTTAACTATAAAATTAACTGTAGGACATTTATGCAGTATGTTATTGTATTTTAAAGTTGAGAATTAAAGAATTACAGTTGATTTTACAGTAAAGATATACATACAATTCTGTAAATACATATACACCAATATAAATGGTGCTGTAATTGTAAATACAGTATTTCTCCTGTAGTTGATTTACAGTAAGTTACTGGCGTACTGCTTTAGTTACTGTAAATTCTACAGGAAATATTTAACAGTGTGCTTTCTCATATCAATAAAGGGATAGTTCACCCAAAAATGAAAATTCTGTCATCATTTACTCACCCTTATTTTAAACCTTTATGATTTGATTTGTTCTGTTGAACACAAAATAAGATATTTTGAAAAAAAAAAAAAAAAAAAAAAAAAAAAAAAAAATATATATATATATATATATATATATATATATATATATATATATATATATATCTATATATATATATATAATACTTCGCTATCAGATTTATTTTCCTACTTTTGATACCCGTGTTTTCAGTTTTCTTCAACATATGTGTTCATATGAAGAAAGAAACCGATTTGGAATCACTTGAGAGCGAGTTAATGAGTTAATAGTGGGTAATTAAACATTTTTGGGTGAACTATCCCTTTAATTTGTGTAACAGTAATGATAGAGCAATTAAGTTTCAGCTTCACAGTTGATAAATTCAGGGTTATTTTCAGCAAAGTCCTTGTTTTCAGAATAGTCTAGTGCAGGGAGTTTCTAATTGTGGTCCAGGGAGGCCGAAAGTGTATGCCTTAAGAGTCAAACAACAAAATAAAGACAAACAATTACACGAAAAACAAGTAATTTAACCATTTTATATTAAAAAATAAAGTAATAAATAATCAAGTAATTATTAAGTATTTTAGGGAACTGGGATTAAAAGAATAGAATAAATACAAATGAACACAAAATCAATAATGTTTAAATATAATTAAGACGAAAATAGCATGTAATGAACATAATTTTTTTTTTGTTTAAAGAAAGCCAGTAAAACAAATTATATTCTAATTAGCAGTAAAAGTGGTTAAAACATGTAAATAAATAAAAAAAATTTAATCAGATAAATACCATAGTATAATCAGTTGAATAGTTTTATAATTTGTTATGCTACGAATTAAATATTTTTCAAATAATAATTTAGAGCAATTTATAATATAATTTTTTCCACAGTATTAGTCGTCTTAATATATATATTTTTCCTTTTGAGCAGTAAAATGTTTGTCATCCATAATTTAGTGCACTGTAAAAAGTAATAATTAGATCTAACTTGTATGAAGTGAGGCAAGCGGCTGCATTTGATGTTTTTGGTTGGGTCAACTTCTAGCCTTTTTAAAGTATAACAAACATTGTAACATTGCTTAAAACAAATGCAACAAAATTAAGTTAAGCTGACTAATAGTTCTAAAATTAATTACCTGCTTTCTTGTTACAGGTAGCTTATTTACATGTTTCTATATGTAACCTGTATTTGTTTTGTTTAGGTTTTAAGAACTTTTTCGTTTCCGAGTTCTGGGTTGCAGCTGGACTGGCATCCGCTGTGCAAAACATATGCTGGATAATTTGGCGGTTCATTACGCTGTGGCGACCCCTTATGAATAAAGGGACCAAAGGAAAATGAATGAATGAACTTTTATGTTTTAAATAAAAATAACTGAATCATATGTCAATAAAATTAATTAAATTGACTTCTGGCTGTAACACTTTTCCAGATTACACCTAAAATAGTTTTGAAATGTCAGTGATTCTCTACTGGGATTGTTTGCTGTGGATTTTGAATGTTTGCTTAAAACGAGAAAGGGCGTCCATCTCCGCAGTTGTGGAGTGACTCATTAGTGAACTTTAAGTGACTCATTAATGGCCACAGAGTGAACTCTTTCTGCTCAGAGAGAGTGTGTATTCATCCGAGACACAGGAAACCCGTTCTTGCTTATGCATTTTTATTGGACTTTGATAACCAATATTTCCTGCTCTAAAATTATTATAATAGTAAAGGGAAAGATCATGTCAAGTTCAGTTACACTCTGAGTTAAATAATTTACAGATCATGAGGTGGATTGCTTAAAGTATAAAACTCAAATTGTTTCGTTTCAGAAAGTGTCCCAGTTAGCACGTCCTCATTCAGGCTATACATTCTTAAAAAAAAAAAAAACATAAATTGCATTTATTTTGGTGTAAAAATCATCAACTTTCTCTTTCTCACTTTGATTCTGAGTTTGTGTGTGTGCACATAAAGGAAAGACATTCGTAGAAAACAATTGCATGCCTTGAAAGTTGAAACATAAAGATGCTGTGATTGATTTCTCACAAGCCAATCAGTTCAATTCACAGACACAGATACAATGTTTAAAAGCTTTGTACATTAGGAGGAAAAGAGCTGTCCGTGAAAGAGGATAGCTAAAAGAAAAGAGTTTACTTCATTAGTGATTGGGAAGTGACGTTAGATGTGTAGTTAATGTGTACAGAGACTTAGAAGTGTAAGTTCATGTCATATTTTTGTAAATTCACCTTAAAAAATACAGCTTTAAATTGCAGCTGTACATAAACCTGTATAAAAATTAAAATTGTAAATGTTTATATGTAATTAAACTTGTTGGTTAAACCAAAATGGCTTATGTGTAGCAAATTATGGGTATAATAATTCGTAATAATTGTACTAATTGTATTTTTTTTACTTTTAAATGTAATAATAATAATACTTAAACTTTTTAATTTGGAGCAACAGGAAGAAGAGTGGGTTTATTGCATCAAAGATGTGTCACTTTTCTCACAGTGTATTGGTTTGTGAATTCTAATATAGAACATATAACCAGTCCTGTTGATGGTTAGCCTTGCATTGTAGGATACCATGGCGACTAAGGCATGAGATTATAACTGTTTTCAAGTTTTACCTTGGTTTTGAAAAGTCAAGTTTTTAAAATCGATAACATTTTCTGTTAAATCATTCCAACAGTATATATAAGTTTTATTTTTTTATTTACAACTTTTTAAACTATTATATTTAGTTATTTAGGATTATTTAGAGCAGTATCTCCAGCAGAAAAGGACCCTCCACATCATAATCTACTGATTCAGGAAACATTTAAAAAACAAATCGCTTATGCACCAACATCCAAGCATGCTATAGACCTGAACAGTGCAGTGGCTTACTTTAAAGCATGGGTCTCAAACTCGATTCCTAAAGGACCACAGCTCTGCACAGTTTTGCTCCTAATCAAACACGGCTGATCCAACTAATCAAAGTGTTCAAGACTACTAGACTATTAAGCAGGTGTGAGTTGGAGATGGTTGAAGCTAAACTGTGCAGAGCTGTGGCCCTCCAGGAATTGAGTTTGAGATAACTGCTTTAAAGCAAAGATATTCAAAGATGCCTTTTCAGATTTTAAAGAAATCTGTCTTTTTTGAATCTGTCTTTTTTCTGATAAAGATAGCTGAAGTCAATTTTTTATTTTAATTATTTAGCCTGATGTTTATTGCTTTAAAATATTTTAAAAGTTTTTCAAATAAAATATATTATGGTAATTGGAAAAAAAGTAATTGTTTATGCTCCAGACATTTCAAAAGGACATATTTTAGAGCAGTGATCACAAAACCGTGATAATTCTACCCAAGGTTTTCTTACCATCAGGATCTTATATTGGCTTATGACTACCTAAAACCCAGAATTGGTGCAAACTGAAACCTAACTGGCTTAATCATGCACAGGCCCCTGTGTTTTTTACATGTTGGTTACATAAATACATGATTCTGTCTCATCTATCCAACAGGAGTTGAAGCAGGATGTCTAGATCAGATTTCCCTCCTTCTTATGATGATTCTCGACTGCTGTCAAACACTCAGCCGGGGCCAGGTTATCCTCCTTCTGCTCCTCCATATGGATTTAGTCCATATGAGGGACAACCGGGATACCCACAGCCTAATGATCCATACCGAGGACAGCCCAATGATCCATACCGAGGACAGCCTAATGATCCATACCGAGGACAGCCTAATGATCCATACCGAGGACAGCCGGCCGGATACCCCCCTCCAGCTATGCCAGTCATCCCCGTCATGCCTCCTCCTGGGATAGGTAAGACCATTATTTCCAGCATAGAAAAAGAAACTTTTATAGGCTCCTGAAACTTTGGAGAGCAGTTATTTTGTAGCTTCTATGTCAGTTTAATTATGTAGCCAATATAGTTTATGTCTATAAACATGTGTAGGAGGATCTCTAGATCATTATGTATTATAAGCCCTTTCAGGAAATGTAATTATAGCAGATCATATGCAGGCCGTTGAATTGGATTTTAGCTGAGGTAATCATTATTTATTGTGTAGTCTCTGTGTCTTAATACATTTAACTAGATTATTGTTGTTGGGAAGAGATTTGTTCATGGGCTTTCTGGAATAGGTGATTCTGGTTAGTCCATCACTGTTTTTGTGGTAAAAGATTTTTGGCTAATATAGTGTGTAGCTACCCGCCGGTTATTAAACAGTCCACGCTTCCCAAATCTTCCCAAATACTGGGGTTCGTTCTTCGTACCTCGTTTAAATGATCTAAGATTATTTGGCAGATCCTGGATCTGTTAATGTTGATAACTGATCTCTCGCTAATTTGGTTCTTCAAACAAGTTCGCGAATCAGATTGGAATGTCTGGATAAACTGATCTGAAATCGCTGCGTGTGTTGTGAAGGACAGATCTATCGATCCTCGAAATCAAGATCAGCAATGCAACGATTGCCTGACGGCACAGCAGCGTAATGACATCATCTGATTAATATTCAGTTATCCATGTGAGCAAAATTTTGTCAAATTAGCAGTAAACGGGTTGCTTAATACGACACGCAATAACTCCACATTTGTTGTGAGCTGCAGGCTTTACACTTTCATGTGTCAAGAGTATTCATTATGTATTTCATTGCATATCAATGTATTTAGTTCTACATTTAGAAAAGATTTTCTTTATAATAGTAGCCGTTTTTTAATCGGTAACTGGATGTTTACAAAAGCATTTCATATTGGTAAAGGCGTCTGCAACTTTTGTGAAGCATCAAATCACTGGCATATTAACTGTCAAAACATGTTTCTGACTGCATAAATGTATTAATCGCTTTAAAAAAAAAAGTCACATATTGTGTATTTCTATTATCCACAATTTGTACTAAAGCGATCTAAAAAGTTTATATCAATAAGTTTTCTCTTTGCACCACCAGGTGGCAGTCTTTGTACTTTCATTTCGAGGGTGCAGATTGCATAAGTTTTATTAATATGTATAACTTTATTTATTTTATTAATGACTATAACTTTATATATATAGTTAAAAAATATTTACCATTTTCCCAAGTGTATATAACTACTACTGCAAGAAAATATCAGAATTCGGAACATACTTTCTGTATTATCTTTGCTTGAACTGAGCCGATCTAATCCTGTTTATATGAATTAAACCTGCTCCCGATCAGGTTTGACCTAGCAGAACTGTTGCTATGACAACAACTCTCGGATCAGCTTTGAAGAACGAAACGATGCTGCATCGTGTCAAATCGTCAATAACCAAATCCAGCTAACTGAGTAATCCACGTACGAAGAACGGACCCCTGATGTCTATGCGTTTTATTTATTGAACACCATGAGTGCTAAAAAGATAAACAAACAAACCAAATGTTTCACACAAGCACAATCAAAAGGACATCAAAATTAACAAATAATATACAAACAATGTTTCGTTTACTGTGTTGGCCTGATAACCAGGAGCAGAATAATCAGAAGCATTTAGCGTGTCTGCATTGAGATCTCACTATGCTGTCCATACCAACTCTCGCTGGTTAAATTCATCAAGGAGAATCACGTGACCTCCATTCAAGCCAACCGGAAAAACAAGGAAATTTGTAACATAAATATACACCAACACACATTCAAACAATGAAATACAAAAACAATAAACAACCAAAAATACAAGCTGACCGATCAGCGTCAGCTACGTGGTGTAAATTTTGTCAGATACTTTTTATTATTTGTTTGTCAAAGATTAACCTGTATCCTGTCACATTTGCATGCAAAGAGTGCAAAGCTAAATGTGCACGCTGTCTGTGTGTGTGTGCGCGTCCGCGCTGTGTGTGTGTATATGTGTGTGTGCATGAACTTTGTAACGACATTTTGTGTGACTTATCGTTGCAACTCAACAACAAATGCATCAAATACTCATTGGTAAAGTTCTTACTGTAGTATTTCTCACAAACGGTACGTGAGATCTTTTTCCTTTATCTCTGCCTAATGTCTGAGGCAGCCGAGGGAGGAGATTAAGGCGCGCTGACAGGCACGTGGAAACGGTGGGCGTGAAGGACTAGCCTTAAAGGCGCAGTACAAAAAAAACCCTACCTGGTGCTCAGAGGTATAAAATAGAAACTTACAAAAGGTATAATAAATAATCTGATGGGTGTTTTGAGCTGAAACTTTTCAGACACATTCTGGAGACACAAAAGACTTGTATTAAATCTGGAAAAGGGGGTATCCTAGGTGCCCTTTAAAAGAATGTTGAACACATGAAACCGCTGACTTCCATTGCAGGAAAAACATGGAAGTCAATGGTTCATTATTGGATGAACATTTATCTTGTTTTCTTTGAAGTACTGTGTTTTTGCTTATCATCTGATGATATAAAACAATACAATTCCATTAAAATCTCAAATTAAAATCCATGTTTAAGGCTAGCATTGTGATGTAGAGGTCTGCGCAGGTTAGTTTCTCTTTTTTTTCCGTTACTGAAAACTAAAAACCTTTTTAAAAGATTAGTTTAAAATATCCGACAAGAAGAGGATGTCACAGACTGACTGTGGTTTCAGTATGGAACATTTCTTCAAACATCTCCCATCACAAAGGCAGTATGCTCTCTCAGAAGATGCATTTATGCATGTATTGCAAAGAATTTATTATTCCCTAAAACTCAGATCTAATTTATACGCGACCTCTGCAGTAAGTGTTGTTCACTTCAAGATTCAGATCAAGCTTGTTCACTTTAAATTCAAGTCCAGATTCAATGTTGTCAATGTGATCCTTCATGAACCCCTGTTAAAAGCTAGAATCAGTGAAATTTTAAAAGGTAATTCCAGTCATTTCCAAGCATATACTTTCTCTTGTGGCATAGAGTTTGCATGAGTGCATTGATTTTGCAATTATAATCACAAACAATACAGTCCAGATCAACATTGAGATTTATCAGAGTTCATCACTGGGAAAGTGATTGCAGAATAATGCTTTCATCACGTGTTCTTGAAAATGTCCTGCTTCTCACTTAAGAAGTTGTGATTATGAGCTTGTTGATTTCAAGTGCTGTCATGTTGTCAAAATCAATAATTACAGCATTTTAAATCAGTACAAATTTATTTTTGATTGGTAAAATCTGATATAATGGATCACTCATCCATAAAACATAGTACATGTACATAGTTTTGTTTTTGAGTTAATTTTTTTATATTATTTTTGTTGCTGATTTTCTTTTTTCTTTCACACGAGACTCACATTATGAATATTTATGCAAAGTTTGCACAAAATGTCTATATTGCAACAGAAACCAAAGTGTAAAACGTACTTTTGGAATGCCCTACTTTTAATATTAACAGACAACAGTTTTTATCTGGAGAGACTTAAAAGGAAATATTTTAAAATGCGAATCCTTCAAAAATTTTCGAATATTTAAAAAGTAAACCTTAAAAACTGTTTTAGATTTTGATCTTCTGTATTATTATAATATTGTTATTGATGTCTTTTTATTTATATAATTGTTACCAGAAAATTATATTTACAAAATGTTTTAAATTAGATCTGGTTTTGCCATGAAAGAGCCAGAAAAGCTGACGTGGCAGTAAATTCAAACCTCTCTTTTTTTCTTTTCTTATGTATTCAACATACACTCGCTGGCCACGTTTTTAGGTACACCTTACTAGTACCGAGTCGGACCCCCCTTTTGCCTTCAGAACTGCCTTAATCGTTTGTGGCATAGACTTAACATGCTGGAAATATTCCTCAGAGATTTTGGTCCATATTGACATGACAGCATCACGCAGTTGCTGCAGATTTGTCGGGTTCACATCCATGATGCGAATCTACTGTTCAACCACATCCCAAAGGTACTCTATTGGGTTGAGATTTGGTGACTGCGGACGTCATTTGAGTACAGTGAACTCATTGTCATGTTCAAGAAACCAGTCTGAGATCATTCGCGCTTTATGAAGTGGCGCGTTATCCTGCTGGAAGTAGCCATCAGAAGATGGGTACACTGTGGTCATAAAGGAATGGACATGGTCAGCAACAATACTTGGGTAGGCTGTGGCGTTGACATAATGCTCAATTGGTACTAATGGGCCCAAAGTGTTCCAAGAAAATATCCCCCACACCATTATACCACCACCACCAGCACCGTTGATACAAGGCAGAATGGATCCATGCTTTCATGTTGTTGACAGCAAATTTTGACCCTACCATCCGAATACCGCAGCAGTCTCATCAGACCAGGCAACATTTTTTCAATCTTCTATTGTGCAATTTTAGTGAGCCTTTGCAAATTGTAGCCTCAGTTTCCTGTTCTTAGCTGACAGAACTGGCACCCAGTGTAGTCTGCTGCTGCTGTAGCCCATCTGCCTCAAGCTTGGATATGTACAGTAGTACATTCATAGATATTCATCTGCATATCTCAGTTGTAAAGAAAGGCTATTTGAGTTACTGTTGCCGTTGTATCAGCTAGAACCAGTCTGGCCATTCTCCTCTGACCTCTGGCATCAACAAGGCATTTGCGCCCACAGAACTGACGCTTGCTGGATATTTTCTCTTTTTCAGACCATTCTCTGTAAACCCTAGAAATGGTTGTGCATGAAAATCCCAGTAGATCACAGCAGTTTCTGAAATACTCAGACCAGCTCGTCTGACACCTACAACCATGCCACGTTTAAAGTCACTTAAATCACCTTTCTTCCACATTATGATGCTCTGTTTGAACTGCAGCAGATCGTCTTGACCATTTCTACATGCCTAAATTCATTGAATTGCTGCCATGTGATTGGCTGATTAGAAATTTGCATTAACGAGCAGTTGGACAGGTGTACCTAATAAAGTGACCGATAAGCATATGTCTGCATGCACACAGATAGGAATGTATATGTTACTAAAAAGTGAATGTGGATGTGTATGTGCTTATACATTAAAGTGTGTTCAGATTTATGGTCTCTGACATGTATCTGATGAAAATTTCAATATTGTTTGAGAAATAAAGATATTTTGATAAATCTCATTGAGACTTGTTAAAAAAATCAGAATATTTGTCTCTCTTTTTTTGAGGGATTTTGTCTACAGATGAATATTGTCTAAGTGTTGTGTTGTTATGAGATGTTGTGTTATTCTATAAATATATATTTTAGTAGCATCTTTTTATCGTCAGGGATAATGCATGATAGCCTGAGGTCATTCATACTTTAGTAAATGTAGTTTTGACTGAAAACATTATTATTACAGGTGACAGTGAAGGATTTACCACAGCTGAAGGATTCGAGAGCACTGATGTCCGGCACAGTTTTATACGCAAAGTAATAGAACCATTCATCTGTCATTAAATAATACACTGTACTCTCCACATAATGGATATTAATTCATTTCTGAATGGATATCTTGCAGGTTTATCTGATCCTCGCTGCTCAGCTTCTTGTCACTGCTGCCGTCGTGGCTATTTTCACATTTGTGTGAGTTTCTTCAGGGTTGTTGTTCGGTCATGTGCTTTGTGTTCACCCAAAATAAAGGATTAATCTTATCACTGCTTGATCAAGGCAGACTTTGCTGTAAACTCAGATTGATGTGTTTATCCATACAGGGAACCAGTAGGATTGTTTGTGAGGAAGAACCCCGCCATCTACTGGGTTTCATAGTAAGAGTGATATCTTTAATTGTTCATTATGAATATATTGCCTTGCATGTGCAACATTAAAGGGGTTATGTATTAAATGTTTTTGCATCAGTTGCAGGATTAGCTAGTTCCTCCATAAATAATATACTAAAGCATATCTAAAAAATGAACACTATAAATTGCTGTTAACCGGTATAAAGGGCTTTCCTTTTTATTTAAAGGGTTAGTTCACTCACAAATTATTTAACATTATTAGTAATTACTCATTCTCATGTCGTTCCAATCACACAACTTAAGAAATGTTAGATGAAATCCAAGAGCTCCCTCATCCTCCATAGGCTGCAATGATTCTGAGATATTCGAAATGTCAAGAAAAGAAACCAAAATCACTTTTATGCGGCAAATAAAATCTGTAAATATGATGTTGTTCACCTGGATCCTCTCTCTGGGGAGCAGGTTTAGCACACTAATTATATATGGACAAAGTTTTATGGGCTTTTTTTTTGCTCACAAGTGTTTTTGGAGCTTACAGTTAAACCACTGGGAATGTTTTGATAATTATTTTGGTTCCTTTACTGGACTTTGATCCAGTAAAGTTATTTTAACATGTTTTTTTGGCCCACAAAAGTGTTTTTGGAGCTTACAGTTAAACCACCGGGAATGTTTTGATGATATTTTTGGTTCTTTTACTGAACTGGATGTCACTGGACCTTTGCTGTCTATGGAGGATGAGAGCGCTGTCAGATTTCATCCAAAATACCTTAATTTGTGATTGAAATGACAAGAGGGCAAGTAATTAATAACATAATTTTTATATTTTAATTAAATACTTCCATCTCCTTTTGATTATAATTATGGCTAGCCCAGTGTCTGCAGTATATGTAAACCTACCAATCATGGAAATGTTTTGAATGACTTAACATATAATAACATCAGTTAATAGAAACATTGACATTTTACAAAATTTGGTGCAGATCTGTATTTTAAACCAGACTTTTTATGTAAGGAATCACAAGGATTTAATGTTTTGTCCATATTGTGACACAAAATTAAGTGCTTATTAGGCTTGGGCGGTATCTAAATTTTAGTAGGGGGAGATGATGTGTTCGTGAACGGAATAGCAAAACCAAAAAACCACCCAGCTAGATGATACAGAGTCCAGACAGCCTATAACAAGCTGTCGGTATAAACATACACAAATAGACACACAGAACCACGCTCTCTGTCATTCACACACACACACACACAGACAGCACCAAGCCAGCAACGCACAGCATCACGCTTTCTCGCATTCTCACAAACACACATATAAACAGCATCCACTTGGAAGCGTGCGTGCTCGCTCGCCCGGGAGTGATATTGTTAGACCGCCCACTCTTTTTCAAAATACACCAGAGTTACCGACGGCTCCTGCGCTTTATTCAGAAATGTATTCCCGCACCACAACAAATCTGGTCAGGTACTACGGCTCCCGCGGTACAGCAGTGGGAATGCAGACCTCTAGTTCGTATTTACCATGTCTCCCTTCTCGTTCGGTTGAAACCAGTAATACTGACAAACTGCAGAGGTTGTGTTCTTTTTCGAGACCAGGGGCCTCATGTACGAAGACTTGCGTGGAAATCATACTAAAACAAAAAAAAAAATTCAGATGTATGAAACACTGCGTACGCTGAATCTCACGCATATTCTTTTGTACATCCGAATGAACGTGAAACTGAGCGCAACATGCACGATCACAAAACCCCTCCCTGCTTCCTCCCCTGTATGAATATGCAAATGACTCTACTTTGGCAAAACCCAACGAAAAAGCAAAGGCAAATGCAAGCAAAAAGAGAAACTTTGAACAGAATGTGAATTGGAGGTGCTGCTTTCGGAGATAGACCGGAGAAAAGCGGTGTTATTTGCAAGTTTGTTCTCCGGAATTAACAACAAAAGAAAAAAATAGAGTGGGAGAGTTTAGCTGATGCGGTTAACACAGTTGGGTCTGAACATTGCACTGAGTGAATTAAAAAAGAAATAGTGTGGTTTATAGATGTAAAATGTTGCAGCACCCTTAACAGTCTCAGTGGCGCAGCTCGTAAAATGTTCTGACACGTTCGAGCATGAACTCGGTTCGAAACCAGCATCTGATGAACTCTTTCTTCTTTTTTCCCCCGCTACATATCAGATTTTGCCAACTATTTATCACGAGAAAGACAAGTAGGAATCATTAATAAGTTTGTGCATCATATTTTATTTGTACATTTATTGAATGGAAATGTTTCTGATTCACGCATACAAATTCATCTTCAGATAGTGTCTTTATAGCAATGTGCGCGCAGTAGATAGCTCGGATTACATTGGGAAAACAGGCGACCGCTGCAAATTGTGCTTTAATGTTTAGCTGGTCAACTGTATGGTATGGAAACCTTATATACCTGCTAGATGAACCCGTCTCATACAGCTGCCATTGCAAGGCTCAGACACTTTGTAGAGAGGAATTTAACACAACTGCCTGTAGGAGTCGCCAATGGAAATAAAACAGACACGCACAAAAAATGTGCGGACGCCAGGTGGAGCTGCGCACATTCCCACGTTCAGTTCATTGTTAGTAAATCCAAACGTGAGTGATTCTGAGCGTGAAACCTGGCGTACGCAAAGTTTTTGTGCGTACCCAGCGTTGATACATGAGGCCCCAGGTCACTTGGTACAAGACTCGCCATCTTACCTCACCTCTCTCTCTTTTCTCAACACTGTCCCGTGATGACAGTCACACACGCATTTTTAGCCATTAAATAAATAATATGTAATATTTAATAATTGTCTATGATGAAATAACGGTATTGAATCTGATACCGTTACTATTTTTAGATCCCGCGGTATACCATATTACTGTATTACCGCCCAGGCCTTGTGCTTATAATACATGTTCTGAAAGAGGAAAGTTTCTCACTGCCGTTAACTTAACGGCAAATGGTGTCGCTAATAACAAGGTGTTTTGAACTCTACATGTACCTCCTTTAATTGCAATTAATATAGTAAGGTTGAACAATGTGAATGATAACTGAATTAATTTTATATATATATATATATATTTTTTTTTTTCAGTGCCATCTATTTTGTCACACATATAGTACTGGTTTGCTGTCAGGGACCCAGGTGAGATGATCACTTACTTTTCTGAATCAACCTATAATAAAAGGATTTTATAAAGTTATCTACAAGTAAAATATAACATTGAAGCTGTTTACACCTGGTCACTTCATGAGTTTGATCGGATTGTGAATCTGGCAGGTGTAAATACCCTTCAAAACACATTGGAGACTGAACCGTTCTAAATCCATCTGGTTGTTGAAACCACATATGTACATTTATCTCCTCCTAAATGTCAAAAAATAAATAAACCTAAGGGTGTGTTATAAGCTATATGATAAGTATATATAAAAGTTTGAAAGGTTTAATTTTGTATTGTTTTTGACCAGTAATTAACCATCAAATGTTAAATTACAATGTTAAATTCACATTAAATGGCAGCTTTAATAACAGAGATGCATCACACATCTGTCGTAGCCTATCATTGTTGATTTGAAGATGGGGTTTAACCCAAATTAATGTTAACATTTTACAGTTTTGAATGATATCTTGTACATATCTGTACAACAAAAATAGATTTTATATATCCTTTCCTATTATGACAGTAAACTTAGAGCCTCTCTTGTGCATGTATGATGTTTTATAGGTACACATTTAGTCATTTATCATACAAGAGGTTTTACTGGAACACGAGTGAAGTACAGTACAAAACCTGTAGGCAACATGTAAAATCATTTGTACGCCGAAAAGATATACGGCTTATGTTTATGTAAAAAATACATATGTAAAATATGGTGTATTTGATGCTTAAGTTGAAATTTGCGTAACGCTTGCAATTTGGAGATCAGAATTATATCCATTTTGCAGAAACACATTTATGTGACTAAATGTAAATGGTACCGTTTTCACAAATTCAAAAGCTATTCGATGAAGTGACCAAGTATAAAAGTGTGAACAAAACAGTGCAAACAAAACATAGTTTACTCTTTGGACTAAAGCAGTGGTTCTCAAACTGTGGTACGTGTACCACTAGTGGTACGAATGCTTCCTTCTAGTGGTACGCGGAGGAATGAAATGTCATGTACATGCTACACACATTTCAAAGTTTACCAAAAATGATGTATATAATATGCCATATATGACATATAGCCTATATTTCTAAGGTAATCTGCCATGATTTTTTAACTGTGCAGAGTTGTAGCTGCTTTACTGGGCCTACTACACTACTGTATTTCAATACTACTCATTTTGGTGGTACTTAGAGAGACAAATTTTTTTCTGAGGTGGTACTTGATGGAAAATGTTTGAGAACCACTGGACTAAAGCCTTCATGAAAGCCACTACAAACATAGGTTGAACCAATTTATTTAACCTTTGCCTTTCACGTTTTTAGGAGGCGTTTTCCATGGAACCTGCTCCTGTTGGCCATTTTTGTGAGTTCAGTTATTTAATAGTTTGAGTCACTGTAATTGTAATGAATAAGATAGTTTACGTGTAATGTTGTAGACAATGTGCAGAAAGTCTTTGAATTGCATTACCTTTTTTTTTTTTTTCTTGCTTTAGACACTGGCCTTATCTTTCATGACTGGAAATATAGCAAGGTGAGACATGTCTCATTAAATATACATCGCTTTGTTGGGATACAATAAGAAAATAGCATGGCTCTAACTTAAGGATTGTTGACAAAGGGTTTCAATTATTGAACAGTAAAGCTTCTGTTAAAAGCAGCTTTGTTTAGTTTGCAGTAGGGTTGGGCGGGTAAATGGTATTGTATTGAATCGCGATAAAATGTTAATAACAATTATAAGCTCTGAACTTCTTTATATTGATCTATGAGCAAATCACAGAGCAAATCACACAGCAGAAATATGCAAGAATGGTAATCTAAAAGTGGGTTGATATTAGAGATGTACCGAATTTCAGCCACCGAAAGGTTATTGGTCAAAGAATGTTATGCCATTTAATGGAAAATTCTATACACAATACCCCATAATGACAATGTGAAAAAAGATTTTTTGAAATTGCTGCAAATATATAAAAAATAAAAAACCTGAAAAAACACATGTACATAAGAATTCACAGCCTTTGCCGTAAAGCTCTGTAGATGTCTGTAGACCTCCGAGACAGGATTGTCTCGAGGCACAAGGCTGGGGAAGGTTACACAAAAATTTCTGCTGCTCTGAAAGTTCCAATGAGCACAGTGGCCTCCATCATCTGAAAGCGGAAGATGTTTGGAACCACCAGGAGTCTTCCTAGAGCTGGCCGGCCATCTAAGCTGAGTAATCGGGAGAGAAGGGGCTTAGTGAAGGAGGTGATCAATAACCCGATGGTCACTCTGTCTGAGCTCCAGCGTTCTTTTGTGGAGAGAGTACAACCTTACAGAAGGACAACCATCTGTGCAGCAATCCACCAATCAGGCCTGTATGGTAGAGTGGTTAGACGGATTCCACTCCCCGCCTGGAATTTGCCAAAAGGCATCTGAAGGACTCTCAGACTATAAAAAAACTAAATTCTCTGGTCTGATGAGACTAAAATTAAACTCTTTGGGGTGAATGCCAGGCGTTACGTTTGGAGAAAACCAGGCATCGCTCATCACCAGGCTGATACCATCCCGACAGTGAAACATGGTAGTGGCAGCATCGTACTGTAGGGATGTTTTTCAGCAGCAGGAACTGGAGGACTAGCCAGAATAGAGGGAAAGATGAATGCAGCAATGCACAGAGACATCCTGAATGAAAACCTGCTTCAGAGTGCTCTTGACCTCAGACTGGGGAGACAGTTCATCTTCCAGCAGGACAATGACCCAAAGCACACTACCAAAATATCAATGAAGTGGCTTCACAACAACTTGGTTAATGTCCTTGAGTGGCCCAGCCAGAGCCCAGACCTGAATCCTATTGAACATCTCTGGAGAGATTTGAAAATTGCTGTACACAGTCTCCTCCCATCCAACCTGATAGAGTTTGAGAGGCACTGGGAATGGGCAAAAATTCCCAAAGACAAGTGTACCAAGCTTGTGGCATCATATTCAAAAAGATTTGAGGCTGTAATTGCTGCCAAATGTGCATCAACAAAGTATTGAGCAAAGGCTGTGAATACTGATGTACATGTTATTTTTCAGGTTTTTATTTGTAATAAATTTGCAACAATTTCAAAAACTCTTTTTTCACATGGGCATTATGGGGTATTGTGTGTAGAATTTTGAAGAAATAAATTAACTTAATCCATTTTGGAATAAGGCTGTAACTTAAAAATGTGGAAAAAGTGCAGCGATATGAATACTTTACTTTATAATATCTTATAAGACATTAAAATACAAATGAGCAACTTTTCTATACTAGTGATATTTTACGCGCGTGCATTTTTTAATGTATTTGTAATCAAATAAATGTAGTCTTGATGAGCATATGGAGACTTCTTAAAATTATTCTTATTTTTTTAATGCTAAAATAACAAGGCAAACTGATCAATATAATAATGTTGTTTGTTTTTGTAGTTATTACAGCACTAGAGCGGTGTTCCTGGCCCTGGCCATCACAGTTGTCGTGTGTGTAGCAGTGACTGTGTTCTGCTTTCAGACGAAGGTGGGTTACTTTTTTTTCTTCTTTTCATAACACCGGTCATGCCAGTTTGTGAAAGCGTGTAACCTCACTTTCTCTGTTTCACAACAGGTGGACTTCACCAAATGTTCTGGCTTTTTCTGTGTACTCGGAATCGTAGTGTTTGTGACCGGCATCATCACTGCTATTGTCCTGTCATTTAAATATGTAAGCATAACATTCTGCTCAAGTTTAGGTGTATAGAGCGATAATTATTGTTTCATAGCAGCTTTATAAAAGGCACATATTATTGCATTACAATCAAATTCGGAAAAGTTAGGGCTATTAGTTACCATACCTTTATTTGTCACTTATTACTAGTTTTAACAGTTATTTTATATACAGTTGAAGTCAGAATTATTACCCCCCCCCCCTGTTGTTTTTTTTTTGCTCTCTCTATTTTTTTTTTTTCTTTAATATTTTCCAAATGATGGTTAACAGAGCAAGAAAATTTTCAAAGTATGTTTGATAATATTTTTTCTTCTGGAGAAAGTCTAGGACTTGTTTTATTTTGGCTATAATAAAAGCAGTTTTTATTTTTTTAAACACCATTTTAAGGTCAAAATTATTAGCCCCTTTAGAATAGTTTTATTTTCGATAGTCTACAGAACAAACTACTATTATACAATAACTTGCCTAGTTAACCTAATTAATCTAGTTCAGCATTTAGATGTCACTTTAAGCTGTATAGAAGTGTCTTGAAAAATATCTGGTAAAACATTATTTACTGTCATCATGACAAAGATAAAATAAATCAGTTAAATGAGTTATGAAAACTATTATGTTTATAAATGTGTTGAAAAAAAACTTCTCTCTACTAAACACAAAACGATGAAAAATAAAGAGGGGGGCTAACAATTCTGACTTTAACTGTAAGCATAGTTAACCTGCAGTTATATAGCTTAAACTAAAGATCTGCGAGGGACTAAATTTTGAATACCACTCCTGCCAGGTTTTAGTCCGAACCCGACCGCTCCGCTTTTATTCAGCATTTGTTGTCCAACTGCCCGCCCCACCCCGTTTTCTACCTGTCGCGCCCTTTTCCTCTAACGGGTGGGAGGGAGGGGGGTATCACCCAGCTATACAGAGTCCAGACAGCCTATGACAAGCTGTCTGTATAAACACAAATAACACACATAGACACACAGCACCAAGCAAGTGACACACACCCAGACAGCTACAGCATCACGCTGTCTCACACACACACATAGACAGCACAAAGCTCTCTCATTCACGCGCACACACACACACACACTCACATAGACGGCAACAAACAAGCTAAGCACAGCATCACGCTCTCATTCACACACATACATACATATGTGTGCTCCTTGGAGCGATATTGTTAGACCGTACCGACTGATCCTGTGCTTTTTTCGGAAATTTATTCCCGCACTGCAAGAAATCTGGTCGGGTCCCGCGGTACAGTCGTGGAAATGCAGACATCTAGCTTAAACCTTGTGTAAGCATAATATTGCATCTTTTATTCTCATTGAAAATTGTTAAATGGCTAGTTCACCTAAAAATTCACCCTCAAGAGGATCCAAACGCAATACTGTTTGAGTTCCTTGTTTTTCTCTTCCAAACAAACAAAAAAAAAAGATATTTTGAAGAATGTTGGAAACCGGTAGCCATAGTTACCCATAGTAGGCATAACGACCTCTGTGGAAGTCCAGACCATTTTCCCACATTCTTAAAAACAGGAGGTTGAGTAAAGATTTTTACTCAGATGTTTGATATATGGGTCAAAGATGGGATGTCACATTTTAGTGTCTACATTAATTTTATGTGATTATCTTTCAAAGACGTTTTATTTTAGGTAACGTTAACTCAAATATCTAAATATGGGTGAAATGATTACCATGACATTTGTAAAATAAGTCATGGCACTAAATAATAAATAATAATATTCACACTTCATTAATTGCTCACCAACCTTTAAAACCTAGTAGTTTGAAGGATCGTTGTAACGTAAAAGCATTTTGGTGCTAAAACAGAATGCTGTTTGATATTTCGTCAAATGATTTGCATCCCCGATGTATATTTTTTGTTATATAAACTATTGTCATACAATTTTTTTTTAAATGACAATCTAATGTATGAAAGGTAGGCTTAATTTAAAGCAGTATTGGATTTGAATATTGAAACACATTTTTTTTTTTATCTTGAACCATATTTACATGTAAAAAAAATAAGCCAAGTTTCCTGAGTACAGTTCTTAACAAACAGTCCTGTCAGGATCTTGTGTTCCAAGTCTTTTATTTATTATTTTAAAGAAATACAAAAGCAGATATTTTAAAGAATGTTGGAAACCAGTAATCATCAACACCCATAGTAGGAAAAACAAACACTATGGAAGTCAATAGCTACCGGTTTCCCACATTCATAAAAACAGATGGATGAGCAACTATGTCAGAATTTCATTTTTACATCAACTATTCGTTTAATCGATCATTTATTTGTTATTTTCTCCATTTGTTTTCAGGTCCCATGGCTACACATGCTTTATGCATCTATAGGAGCCATTGCATTCACTTTGGTAAGCCTGTTAACTGTATCAAATTCAGCATTAGTTCCATATTTAAACACTGCTCACTAATTTCATCCAAAAATCTCTTTTTTCTTGCATTTGTGTTTTAAATGTTTAGTTTCTGGCCTATCACACTCAGCTGCTCATCGGGAACCGGAAGCTCTCCATCAGCCCAGAAGAGTATGTGTTCGCTGCTCTCTCCCTTTATGTTGACATTGTGCAGATCTTCATCTTCCTCCTGCAAATCATCGGTTACGCAGAGAGATAGATAGATGGATGGATCAGAAGGTGATTGATGTACCTTTACAGTACTGTCATAACGGCTTTATTGTTTATGCACCATGCAGTGCCTGCTCAGCCTGGTCTTAACTATAACATATACTCAAATATTACTGAACTTAAAATATAGCTGGCGTTATACTGATCAAGCAGCCGGAGTATAATTTCCACAGTTAATTATTGAGGATTTCCATCATTAAACAAACATATGCATACTATCTGGTGAAAAATGATAGATGTGTTTTAAGCCAGTGTTTCCCTACACTGTTTCTGAGGGCACACCAACAGTACACATTTTCAACCTCTTCCTAATCAAACAGACCAGAATCACCTCATCAGAACATAAGATGAGACTCCAAAACCTGAAGCCAATGGGTCAGATAAGGGAGACATCCAAATTATGTACTGTTGATGAAGCCAGTGTTTCCCAACCTTGTTCCTAAAGGCACACCAACAGTACACATTTTCAACCTCTTCCTAATCACACACACTTAAACTCATCATAACATTAGAAGAGACTCTAAAACCTCAAATGAATGGGTCGGATAAGGGAGACATAATATGTACTGTTGGTGAAGCCAGTGTTTCCCAACACTGTTCCTAAAGGCACACCAACAGTACACATTTTTAACCACTTCCTAATCAAATAGACCAGAATCACCTTATCATTACATCAGAAGAGACTCCAAAACCTGAAGTTAATGGGTCAGATAAGGGAGACATCCAAAATATGTACTGTTGATGAAGCCAGTCTTTCCCAACCCTGTTCCTAAAGGCACACCAACAGTACACATTTTCAACCTCTTTCTAATCAAACACACCTGAACTCATCATAACATTAGGAGACTCTAAAACCTCAAATGAATAGGTCAGATAAGGGAGACATCATAATATGTACTGTTGATAAGGCCAGTGTTTCCCAACCCTGTTCCTAAAGGCACACCAACAGTACACATTTTCAACATCTTCCTAATCAAACACGCGTGAATCACCTTATAAGAAGAGAAATCAAAACCTGAAATGTAAAGGTCAGATAAGGGAGACATCCAAATATGTACTGTTGGTGAAGCTGGTGTTTCCCAACCATGTTCTTAAAGATACAGCAGCAGTGCACATTTTCAACCTCTTCCTAATCAAACACACCTGAATCACCTCATCAGAAGAGACTCCAAAACCTAAAGTTAATGTGACAGATAAGGGAGACATTAAAATATGTACCATTGGTGAAGCCAGTGTTTCCCAACACTGTTCCTAAAGGCACACCAACAGTACACATTTTTAACCTCTTGTGAATCAAACACACCTGAATCACCTCATCATAACATTAGAAGATACTCTAAAACCTCAAATGAATGGGTCAGATAAGGGAGACATCATAATATGTACTGTTGGTGAAGCCGGTGTTTCCCAACCCTGTTCCTAAAGGCACACCAACAGTACACATTTTCAACATCTTCCTAATCAAACACGCGTGAATCACCTTATAAGAAGAGAAATCAAAACCTGAAATGTAAAGGTCAGATAAGGGAGACATCCAAATATGTACTGTTGGTGAAGCTGGTGTTTCCCAACCATGTTCTTAAAGATACAGCAGCAGTGCACATTTTCAACCTCTTCCTAATCAAACACACCTGAATCACCTCATCAGAAGAGACTCCAAAACCTAAAGTTAATGTGACAGATAAGGGAGACATTAAAATATGTACCATTGGTGAAGCCAGTGTTTCCCAACACTGTTCCTAAAGGCACACCAACAGTACACATTTTTAACCTCTTCCTAATCAAACACATCTGAACTCGAGAGAACATTAGAAGAGACTCCAAAACCTGAATAGGCTTATTGGAGATAAACCTATCATGAGACCAGATAATATAGACATCCAAAATGTGTACTGTTGGTGTGTTTGGCAGGAACACACTTGGGAAACACTGTTTTAAGCCTTATGTTGTATTAATCATAGTTTCTATTGTGTGGAAGCCTGTTACCATGGAATAAAAAAAAAGGTTGATGTGCCAATTCTGACTTGGATCTCACAGTTTGGACATTTCTTATAGAATTGCGAGTGTATGTCTTGGAAATGTACTCGCTCTAAATTGCGTGTTTATAGCTCAAAATCCTGAGTAAAACGAGTTTGGGAGAAAACCTGGGAAATCTGATTTAATAATTCAAAATTGTGAGAAACAAAGTCTGAGTTGGGAAAAATAAAGGTAAACTTTATGAGGAAAAAACGCCTCAATAAAAAAAAAAACACTTTTTTTAAATTAATTTTTATTTTGCTTCATAAAAAATTATAATCACCTTTTTTTTATTCTGTTGTGGAAACAGGCAGTGGAAGAAAACTGCATCATTACGATTTCTACTGTATAGACTTGGATGTGCTGTATTTACTGTTGATATTACATGTTTATGTGTGTGTGTGTGTGGTCAAGGGTTTAGCTTTTCTGCTGTGTATATATAGTTACATTGTATTTTATTTTACGAGATTCAAATCCCAGACATCTTTATACACAATATAAAGTCTGTTTTATATATATATTCGCTTTAGATTTAAGAAAAGTTTTTAGTTGAAGAATTTTATACTTTATTCACAGGTTATGTGATGTACAGCAGTGCCTTTCTACTTTCGTTTAGCTCCAAAGATACACTATCATGTTGTAAAAACTACATCGAAAAGCTCACAATGTTCTCATGCTCCAGTTTGATATGCTGTCCTTATTTTAAGATGGTCAATAAAAGGAACACTTGAGTATTTTTCGGTTATTTAATAGATTTTTAATTCAGTTTTTCTGTATTTTCCCCCTTGCAGTTGCTTCGAAATGTGTACACAATGTCTAACAGGCAACACTGAAATCCTTAATTCAATTAAGTACTTCATTTACGCTTCATTTATTTGTCGCAAACCCCAAAACCAAAGTCTTCAGCTCCACAATCATTAGATCAACAGGTCCGCCGTAATAAATGCCTGCTTTCTAGAATGTACTTATATACGCAGTTCACGGTTTCCATGGCAACCCAATCATAAGTGCCCAATGAAGCCATTTGTCTTTTACAGAAATCAAGCTTTACTCCATCCCGGTGGCTGCTTTATATCGGTTTGTTTCATAATCTCCCTCGTTGGCTCTCTTCATCCTCTGTCGGATTTTCAGCTGTTTCAGTCGGTTCTTGTCCACTTGTCTCTTTGCCAGAATAAAGCCAATGATCCCAGAAGGCAGGCCAATCATCCTAGGAGAAAAACACCAGTCAGTTACTACCAAAGTCAGATATCATCCCTTTATAGGGTACTCATTTGGTCAAACCCTGGAGCTTTACTGGGGGTTATTACAAGACTTCTGTGACTTAAAATATAAATAAACTATTATAATCAATGTTAATGAAGTGACCATGTATGCTTCTGTGCCCGTTAGAGGGATAGTTCACCATCTACTGAATTCAAATATTTTGAAGAACATAGGGAACCAGTTTGTTCTTCACTGACTTTGAGTGATTTTATATTTATGCTACTGTGGAAGTCAATAGGAACACTAAACTTTGGTTGAAATATTCAATGTAACTTGTGTTCAGCATTAATTGAAACAACTTAAGGGTAGGTAAACATTGACTAGGGAGAACTACGCCTAGTGGCCGAAATTAAAGGGGTAGTTCATCCAAAAATTATTGTTCCAAACCAGTTTGAGATTTTTGTACTGTTAAACACAAAAGAAGATATTTTGAGGAATGTTGGAAACTGGTAAGATCCATAGTAGGAAAAACAAACACTTTTAAAGTCAGCTGTTACAGGTTTCCATTCATTCATTCATTTTCCTTCGGCTTAGTCCCTTTATTCATCTGGGGTCGCCACAGCGAAGTGAACCGCCAACTTATCCAGCATATGTGTTACGCACTGGATGCCTTTCCAGCTGCAACCCAGTACTTGTAAACATTTATCCACACACATACACAACGGCCAATTTAGTTTATTCAATTCACATGTACTACATGTCTTTGAACTGTGGGGTAAACGGGAGCACTCTACAGCAAACCCATGCCAACACGGGGAGAACATACAAACTCCACACAGAAATGTCAGCTTGCGCTTGAACCAGCGAAATTCTTGCTGTAAAGTGACAGTGCTAACCACTGAGCCACCATGACTCCCTTTACAGGTTTTGAACATTTTTCAAAATATCTTCTCTTGTGTTCAATAGAAAAGTGCAGTGCGCTGCAATTTTTTTTATGTTGCTAGGTAACCACTGTGTCTTGGTGTTGGAGCACATGACCTTGGGTGCTTTGAGTTGACTTGGCACAGAGTGCTCCATCAAAAAACATGAGGTGCAGCAGGCAGTTAGCATGCGTGGTGTGGGGGTGCTTAATTAGCATGCGCAACACTCACTGCCAATAGAAAACCATTTTTAAAATGTGCCTTACTGCAAAAATAATTGTTTAGTGTGATCAGGGCCTAAATTATGGCCGAATTGAAAATTTTGGGTGAACTATCCCTTTGAAGGTTCACTTAACCCTCGAGTACTTGTTTTGAGATTTTAACAGATTTGTGTGTGTTGAACATCAGTTTAGACAGTGTTAGCACCTGTCAGCTTTAATTGTGGGAAAAAACTGGATAATTTTGAGCTTTTGTCAGCTAACTTCAGCTTTCGGGTTTGAAATAATTTTTGGGGTGGGATCAAAATTGGTGACATAGCACAAAACTGCAAGTGCAAAGATGAAGCGACGGTTTCTCATTATTTTTCATAGCGGAGTTTTCTTATCCTACGAGAACAGCCGGCTTCTTAATTATTCATGACTGTGCGTGCTTTACGAAGGCAAGACAGTCAGACCTGCCAGTGCCAAGCTGTGAGACCCTATGTTAATGACTGGGCAAGATCACGTCCACAGACCCACGGCACACAGTATTTAGCCATTCATGAAGGGTCGTATGTGTTTGTTTCCATGATCCACAGGGTTTGTTGCATGTTTTGTCAACTATAAAATCATGCATCTCCTCACGGTTTGTGTCTTTTTTTAAGCCGACTGAAAACTGTTGTCTGTTCCCCTCCTTCTCCCCTGCTCTGCTGGCCACGCCCACTCCTGCCTCTGATCGCAGAGCTCCACGCCCATTATGACGCATTTTTGGAAAAAATTCCTGAACCGATAGTGGGGGGTGTCATGGTCCTTTAAGGGCTTGTGGGAAACACGAAACAACTCCCGATTAATGTGATGTGAAAATCCGTCAACTTCTACAGCAGCCAATCAGAGGCATTTAGCTGAAAATGCAGATTTCACAGGTCTGGTTTCTATTACAGATTTACACTCAAATTTTTCACACTTTTTTTTTTTTAAATGTGATTTTTTTTTTTTAAACTACTGCAGAATGACATTAATCAATGTTATGCAACTACATTGTAATGTTTTCCTCCTATAACCTCTCCCAAGTTATATAATATGCAAATGTGCAATGTAACAGGGCCTTGTGTTGCTCCTGATGCATCATGCCCAAAAGAACTAATTACCTACCACACACACACACACACACACACACACACACACACACACACACACACACACACAAATGAATAGCCACATCTTTCAAAGATAAAAAATATTTTACATATATCATTATTATAAACATTAACAATTAAAATTAATTTCCTCAGGAATAGTAAATAATGTTTTTATCATAATAATGCAGCCCTACACTATAATGAGTTTCTTTAAAAATGTTTGTTATAAAGTTTACAGTATTGTCATTTTAATAATTATGTAGTTTTTTTTTAGGTAATGATAATATTTAACAATAGATAACACATTATGATTTAATTATAGTAAAGCAATAATAGTATCTAATTACAGGAGCAAATACTGACCCTTGATAGAAAGGTTAATCTCTGAATCTGACTGCATCTCTAGATTTTCAGCACTGTCGTTTCCCTGCTTTTGTTGTCTGAAGCAGAAGGCAGATATGAGCTATACTAACCATGCATATCCAATCTTCATCATGGGATTTTTGGCCTTTCCTTTGGGCATATATTCAGGCCTGTTATCTTCTTCCTCCTCCTCCTCTTCCTCTTCTTTCTTTTGTTGGTTGGTTTTATTTTCAGGTTCAGCTGATTTCTGTGTGTTCATAACTCTTGGAGGCTCCGTCTTGGTGATGGTTTGTAAAGTATGATGTCCGTAATGTAAGGCTCTGCTGTGTAAAACATTCTCCTGCAGTCTGAGACAAACTCTCTGCTCCAAGTGAGATTCTCGCCACAACGTCCTGTTTGACAGCTGATACAACCCTGGAAAAGTACAAAATGTAAACCATTTTGAGTCCCATTCCATTCATGTTTTCTGAAAATTGCTCTTCCAGTATTATAATTCCAATAAACCTGTCCTTCAGCTTTGTCCCTGGTTCCAATAAGTGTTGTTTGAAATAGATGCATATAGGGATGGGTACTGAAACTCGGTACTTTATCATTACCAGTACTATTACCTTTTAATTATAAAAGTCTGAAGTATTGTTAACGGTTATGCTATCGGTACTAGAGAATTATTGTAAAATAAACATCACTTACTGTATCATAATTTAACCTTTTCTAATTTGCAATATTTTATATTCGTCTGCACTGTTTGCAACCTCATGTGAAAAATGTTTGTCTTGTTCCACCCAACACAATGGCGAGGGCGTCACTATAAAGCAACGATGGCGGAGAGAAGCAAACGGTCAATAGTACTGCTGTATTTCCTGATTGAACACCGAAATGGCCTGTTACAACAAACGCAAGATGTTTTGTTGTAAAAGCAGAAACTGTAATCCGACAAAGCATCTTTCAAAAGTGCATCAACTGTGGACAGACAACTGCAAAGTTTTCGACTGCTTAGCTACTAACATTACATCTGCATTCGTACGATGGCAGTCAATCACATAAGGTTTCTCTAAATTTGTATAATATTATTGGTTAAAGAAACACACACATGCAGTTACATTGAAAATAGTATTTAATCTGCAGTAGCCTTATTAAATCTTAAACATTAAAACTACCTTCACATCACTGTATTAAAAAATATATTATTAATAATAAATGATGCTTAAGAAATTACTTAAAAACTACTTTTTACATTGCAAGAGGTTCCCAAACTGTATTATGTTTAATCCCAAAGACAGTTAATTCATTCATGTGAATGTGTTAATGATAAACCCAACGCTATCTCTCAGCAATTCGTAACTTTTAGATTTAGTGGCTAAGTTGTATGAATTCGTACGATCTAATACCTACATGATGGTTGGGTTTAGGGGCGGGGTTGGGTGCCACACCTCCTTTTTAAAATCGTACATTTTCATCCGACTGAACTCATACCAATTAGCCACTAAACTGACAAAACGTAAAATACTTAAGTTTTTTCGTGAGATCAGGCTGAATAAAACATAAACATTCTCCACAGCTAATTTTTTAAATGCATGATGCAACTCAAAGAGGGTATTTTTAACTGCAGGGAGCACAGTGAGCCAAGAAAGGACCCGACTTTTGCCAGAAAAGACAAACAAGTTGATTTTTCTTCAGAAGAATGCTTAAAAATTGAGTCATTTACAGCCTACCTGCATGCTCCAACTGTTTCTTCAAACCTTTGTAGATTCTTTTACAGGAACATTTTTATTTGTTTTACAATTGTTGGTTTCATTTTATTGTGCATTAAAAATGCAATAATAAAATAAAATGTTGTTCATTCTGTTAAATTAGTTTTTCATAAAAAAACTTAAAAAGTACTGATAAGATTATCGTTAAAGTATCGAACCGATAAGTGGTATTGATAAAAGCAGTATACTGTTAAAACCTTAATGATACCCAGTCCTAGATGGTAGGTTCCCAAAAGCACCTTCCAATCAAAAGTCAGATAACTTTGTGTGTGTTTGTGAAGAATATTTTCCAACTATAAATAAAATCACACTTTTGGTGGAATACGAAGTTAAAGGTTCCTGATTGAACCATCGATTCAAATAAAGTCCCTTTAGTTTGAGTAACACTCCACTTTTTGGGGGGAAATTTTAGTTCAACTGTAGAGTTTTACCTTTTTTTTTCCCATTCAGTCGATCTCCGGGTCTTAAGCTTGGCATAAATATTGGAATTGGATTAGACCATAAGCATCTCGCTCAAATTTCAACAGAGAGTTTTGATATTTTTCTTATTTAAAGCTCGACGCTCCTTTAGTTACACCATGCACTAAGACCAATGGAAAATGAAAAGTTGATATTTTCTTGGTCAATATGTCTGGGAACATGGGAACTCTCAATCGTATAACTCCAGCGGACTTGCAGCCTATTTAAAAAAACAAAAACAAAAAAAAAAACAAATGAAGTGTTCCTTTAAGACTGCACCAAAATAAAGCTGTATGTAAAAGGAATTATCTGATCAGGTTAGTTGGTTTGGTTTGTAATGACATTTAGAGTTAGGTAATCGTGTGTGTAGACAAGTTCATCATCAGTGATGTAGAATAATTATTAGAATCAGTACTGTAGTTATAGACATGAATAATACTCAAATTCATATTTAGGCTAAAGAAAAGATGCTTTATTTGGTGATTAGATACTAGTTTTAAATGCATAGAAAGCACTTTAAGCTCGAATGTCTACTCTATAGTTTAATAATTTAAAATGACGTTACCTCTTAATTCGGTGTAAGAGAGATGCTTTGGAAATAAACACTTAATCTAACCAGTAATTATTAAAACACAAAGAAATTATACTAAATTGTATTATACTACTTTATGTATATATTTTAAAACCTGCTTATTATTTGGTTAAAGTGGTTTTAAAAGATAGTAACAGAAAAAGTTTCATGACAATTAATATTTTTGCGTTGCACTTTGATTTTTAATCTAAGTCTTTTAATACGTCCTAAATATGCAGTACATAGTACATAAACTACTGTATAGTTTAGTGGTTTTCTTCAGTAAAATCACGGCAACAAAATTATAATGTTGATTTGCTCAGTGAAATTAAAATAGGACACATACAAAGATGATTCAAGTAGAATATTCTAGTTTCTAGTCAGTCTGAAGGCTTTGATAAGCTGTTCGGGTGTGTTTTAATTAGGCTTGGAGCTACTCTGTTTAATTAATCTGACTGAACCAGACCTACTGAGTCTATATGTTCATGTAGTCATCATTAAAATGTTTGGCTTAAACAGTTTCTTGTGTTCCATTAGTTAGCATTATATCGTTTTATATGAGGCAAACTGTCAAGGCAAATTGTAACGGTAAACTAAAAATTAAAATTAGTAGCAGTAGTTTTAGAAACATATTTGTTTAATCAACAATGTCAATTCAGTTAATTCTTACCTATACATTATGAACTATGATACGCATTATTTGAAAAAGTGACCATTTACCTTGCAATGTCGACCTCATCAGGCTCCAACAGCGCGCCGCCATCTTTGTTGTGTGAGGAAGACCACACGCGTCACGTGACGTATTTTTGTACGCGAGGTCAAAACAGGTTTTACGTTTATAAATGTATATTCCCCAATAACACACCATTTGTTTTGAGAAATATTTGGCAGTTTTCTACTCACACGCAACTGAACTAGCGCTTTTTTGCTAATGTTAATTTTAGCTAACGTTTATATTAATGTCAACATGTATCACAGCTACAGAACAGAAAGTTTTACCTTTTAAAATGAGTTAAATCACTTGGAAAAAAAAAACACTTAACATTTTATAACCATTACGGTAATAATAATGTAAAAACGGTTCATATTTTTAGCTGATACATAATAAATGTTATCAAATAAAAGCTTATAGTAACTGATTTTTCAGTGCTCTCCTGTTTATAAGTCAGTGTAGGCCTACATGTTTGATTTTGTTTTACACAGGTTTAGTAGTTTATATGTAAATTCATACATGAAAATGCTACATTTAATAGTAAAGGTTTTTGAACATAGTTTGTATTGATCCCCACACAGAACTCTTACATGGTAATAAATGCAAATTACAAATATGACATACATACATGACAATATTTTAGATATATTGCAAAAGTGGCCACTTCCATTTATTTGTTTTACCCACTGGAATTACAAATATCTACATACAGTTAAAGTCAGAATTATTAGCCCCCCTTTTAAATTTTTTCTTTTTTAAATATTTTCTAAATGATTATGAACAGAGCATGGTAATTTTCACAGTATGTCTGATAATGTTTTTTCTTCTGGAAAAAGTCTTATTTGTTTTAATTTAGCAAGAATAAAAGCAGTTTTTAATTTTTTAGAAGCCATTTTAAGGACAAAATTATTAGCCCCTTTAAGATTTTATTTTTGATAGTCTACAGAACAAATCATTGTTATACAATAACTTGCCCAATTACCCTAACCTGCCTAGTTAACCTCATTAATCTAGTTAAGCCTTTAAATGTCACTTTAAGCTGCATAGAAGTGTCTTGAAAAATTTCTAGTAAAGTATTATTTACTGTCATCATGGCAAAGATAAATCAGTTATTAGAAATGGATTATTAAAACTATTATGTTAAGAAATGTATTGGAGAAATCTGCTCTCCATTCAACAGAAATTTGGGAAAAAATAAACAGGAGTGCTAATAATTCAGGGGGCTAATAATTCTGACTTCAACTGTATATGTTGAAATAAATTAGCTATGGATAAATAGATGGATTGTTGCTTTAATTTTACAGTTCTCAGAACGAGTACTTCCCTGATGAATCTCTTTTAAATTAATACTTCCTATAAAATGCTTTACGTTAATATATTTGTCCATATAAAATAAATTAGTACCAAAGCCAAAACTGGAACTAATCTAACAAAAAAGAATTAGTACACACAAATTAATATGTTAGGAAGAAATATAAAATAAATTAGAAATAAACAGAAAATCAAAAGAAACATTAAAAACAGCACATTTTAGTTAACATTTTGTAGTTTATTTTTCCAATCAACATTTTTTTTTTCAAAGCAAAAAAATGTAACATATGTACATATTTGTAATTGCAATTGTGAGAAAATGATGTTGTAATTTTTGCAACATTTTGAAATATTTGTTGCATATTTGACATTTTATTTTGTGTGATATCCAAATATGAACTTAATTTTCATGTATGTAATTTGCATATTTTTCCAAGTAGCAAATTTCTCTGTTATTAGCATGTGCTAAACAAAAAATATCAGCTTTTTACCAGACATCTGTTTTAAAATTTATTGCATAATGAACACTGAACTTTTGACATAAATGACAGAACTTTTAACACACGATAACAGTATATATGCAAAATATTTAATGGAGGTCCATTTCTAACATTCTAAAACTCTAGCGTATTAAAAACAAGAAACATATTTACAAAACACTTTTTTTTTTCTTTTTTGCAAGGTCACCAATCTTAAAAACAATGGATAGACAGACCCATCCTTATAATCTGATACAAAAACAGAATGCACCTAAAATCCGTGAAACAATTTACAAAGAAAGAGGCTGGACAGGGTCTTCCTGAACATCATCAGCGGCCCCATATTTTGAGTTAAAACAGCAGAGACTGTGGCAGCAAAATGTCTAGTCTTCGAAAGTGTAGTTGGGATTGACCACCAGCGTAACGTCTTCCTCCTGCGATTCTGTTTCACTGGACTCAGCAGACCCTTTCAGCCCGGACTGTTTCAACTCAATCAGAATATAATCCTGGTGAAGAGAATAAAATCAACATTTATAACTCATCATCTGACATGACATTGTATTTCCACATGAATATAATTAGTATTGTCATCATTTAAAATGCAGTAAGAGATTAAGCATGTCTTTGTCTTTTATGGACTTCCATAAAAACTGCTGTTACTATTTTAGTCAAATCTCAAAACTGTTCTATAGTGACCGTCTCAAGAGTAGTTCAAAATAAATTACAACTCTTATAAATGAACAACAAAATAGTCAAATATATATGTTTATTCTTACACTTCTAAAAACATCGGATATTTACATTTTGTCACTGAAAACCATGTCTGTCCAGCAGTGTCACTATATTAGGGCTGCATAATATATCGTTTCTGTCATGACTGTCAGTGACCACCTGAGGGCGCTGTAGTTCAATGGACACTGAGTAAAACTACAGCGCCCAAAAATACTACATTTCCATACATTCTTTCGTGCACACACCCGGTCTGTCATCTACACTGATTTCAACCACAGCTGTCTCCAATCTCCGTTGATTACCTGGACTATATATTACCATTCCACCTCTGTTTGTTACTGCGTTGTTTGTCTATCATGTCAGCTCTGGTATGTTGTTCTTGATCTCGCTCTTGTATCTTGCTTAAGTCTAGTTCGTGTTTAATCTGTATTAGTTTCTTGTTTTGTTTGTATATTATTTTGTTACTTTGCACTTTGGATTTTGTTCACTGTTACCGCACTATTTAATATTAAATCTGCACTTGGATCCATACCCTTTTTGTTCCTGTTTTTGTTCTGTTTTTATCACGCTTAACGTGACAGTTTCAGCATTGATATCGCGATGTGTGCATCCACAATTGCAAATATATGCAATGTAAAGTCTGGATTACAGTCAACCCGAAGCTACAGAATTGTATTTATACAATAACAAAAAAAAATGTAATACTTTGAACTTTTGTTTTTGTTTCTAGTCCAAATATCTACATTAAAATATAATTTCCCCCGCTGGCAGATCATTTTGTTTGTTTTAAGGAAAAACTGATTTTGCCTTTCATCTGAAATTCAAAACAAATAATATTTTAACCTGATTAAGAATTTTATTTTTAGATATTTGGACTAGAAACGAGAATAACTTTTTTTTTTGGATTGCGTTTATTCAATTTCTGCACCTGAACACAGTTAGACTCCCCAGAAAATCATCAAATAATGCTATTCAAGCTATCTTGTGAAACTGTATTTATATCGCAATATATAATCGCAGAGAAATAAAATATCGCAATATCGGATTTTACCAATATCATGCAGCTCTACACTATATTTTAGATCAGGTAATTTCACAGAAAAATAATTAATTAGATGAAAGACCCAATTCAATATTTAACTTAAGCCCCCTGTGAAGCCCATGATGTAAACCTGTTAAGTTATTTTTTTTGGGGGGGGGGGTTCACCTTTAATGGATGGGGAAGTATAGACAGGGTTCATACACATTTTTACTCCTAAGATTCAATGACTTTTCCAGGACTTTCAAGTACATTTTCATAACCTAATGTTTCATGTAATGTCTACGTATACATGGTAAATAATAAGAAAAACAACGAGTCATTACAGCATATCATAAAACATGCAACAATCTATTTAGTTTAAATGAATCTTTGTATCTATGTAAAATTGATTTAGATAATGCTCACACAGCACTAATAATGTGAGAGCGTGAGTTTGACCATGGCCAGAAAAGTAAAGACAACTAACTCATGTTTAAGTATACAGAAATGTGTTCAAGTAATTTCCATGACTTTTTTTCAAAATTTTGTGGGTTTTTCAGATTTTTCAAAACTTTTGCCAACAAAAAAATGCCATGTCAAAATTCCATGACTTCCAGTTGACCATATGAACCCAGTTTAGAGGATTGGCAGGAAAGCATAGGGGGCAGAGAAAGGAGCACTGGAGTACATGTGTCGACGCACTAGCCACTACACCACTGGCGCAGACCAAACCTTTTAAGTTTTTGTCTTTTTCACATATTTAAATGGAAAACGCAATAAAATTAAAACTTCTATAAAATTGCTTAGTGTGACACCACTATTTATTAAAAATGTGCAATGAGAATACTGTATAGATAATTTTCATAAAATAAACCACACATAATAAAGACAAATGTCCAACAATGAAGATAAAGTACTCTCATGCTAGTTATACACTATTAAGAGTTGTTTTTCTTTATTTTTGTTGTCACACCATTTTTAAGCTACACTTCAGTAATAATAATGTAAATAATTTATTATCTTAGTAATTAATCATATTTTTTCAAACATTAGTCTTGCCAATACATACATATATATATTATTTAAAAATTGTGTTTAAGAAAAAACTTATTTTCACTATATATATGTACCTATTTTACTACCTTTTATTCATGTTTAATCTACACTTTGAAATACTTACAGTATAGTCAATTTAGGCACAAAAAACAGGAACATTTTACAGATAATGTAAATTATATTATAAATTATATTAAATTATATTGTATTAGATCATGTTAGTTAATATATTTACTAACATAACAAACAATTATTACTGTCTTTATTCATCTGTTAATGTTAGTTGATGAAAATACAGTTGTTCATTGTTAGTTCATGTCAATTCACATAACATTAACTCATGTTAACAAGCATGAATTTAGATTTTAATACTGCATTAGTAAATGTTAAACTATAAATAATAAATGCTGTACATGTATTGTTCATCATTAGATCATGTGAATAAATACATTCACTCATGAATTCTTTTATCT